TATTTTTTGAAAATAGCCTCATATCATAATTCGTCCCTATTTTCACGAAGTGACGGTAGCGAATGAAAATCGCAAACAATTTTCGTGCGGATTTTCCTCACCACCGCCCTTTCGTGAAAACAGGAACGAATTATGGTTTCGAAAGCTCATAAACAAAGAAGAAAGACGATCTGGGCTTTATAGCATTTGAATATATAAGCTAAATATTTCATACTGAATGGTGTCATTCACTCAATTTGAAAAGCTTCATGTTATTCAACATTATGAGAAGTTTTCAAGTATGAAGCAACGACGAATATCAAAAATTAGGATGGATGTGAATACTGTATGTACACCAAAAATGTTTTCCTCTTGCATAATTAGGTGGCCTGTCACCAAGCCCATGGACGTTCACGAGTTTTAGCGATTCAGAACATTTGAGATAACTTTCTTGAGCGATAGAAACTCGAATCTATCCCTTTAAACTTACTCTGCTCCCCTTACTTTGTTTGGTGGAAATCAATTCTCTCTCATTCTCTCTCTCTCTCTCTCTCTCTCTCTCTCTCTCTCTCTCTCTCTCTCTCATTTTTTATCTTCTTCTCCATTCCCTTCTTTCCTTTTTCTTCCATCGATCTATCTTTCCCATTTTTATTCTGTAGGCCGCCAAAGGGGGAGGGCGTGGTCGCTTCGGCCCCCACATGACTTGATTCGCCACTGGCAATAGAAGTGGTTACAAAATTATCCCCTCCTTATTGTAATAAAACGACTCAACTGTGATCTGACTTCTTTATACATTTTTCAATAATAATAATAATAATAATGATGATATTCCACTTTTATAGGGCGCTAACTACAAATGTCTCTAAGCGCTAATTTGGGAATATGAATATCTGAAAAGAATGTCGTGATTGAAGTATTTAATAGTCATACGAGAAGGCGAAATTGTTGAATAATGATTATATCGCCTGCGAAACGTAACGACTTCAGACTTAGGCCCTATATACCACTAGAAAAATAATATTACCCCCGGAAAATACGTCTTAAAAATACAAAAATTAACCCAGATATCTATTTATGGCTTTTAGATGGATGTTTCTATATTTTTGTTTTGCTTTTTGTAGTTTTTCGGTCTGTAATTGCATGAGGCAGCGTTTTTCAACCGGAGTGCCGCGGTAGCCTGGGGCGCCGCAGGACATCTCTAGGGGTAGCGCGAGCGTAAATTAATCAAACATCTATATTTCGATCCATTATGAAATAAACGTCAATTTCGTGAAAACAAAATATTAGAAACCGCTAGGTATTTTCAACAAGAACATTTTAAAGACAATTAAATGTCTTTTTCCTCGCTTGCTCCAAAGTAAAGTGCCTCAATACCTACATAATCATTATCAGTCAACGAGGTGCCCGAATATCTTCACATTCGGGCAACAAGATGCCCGTATATGTATCCTATTGTATATCAAAATTTCATTTTTACCACGCTCGTTCGCTTCACTTGGTTGTCCAATAACAACAATAACAATACCTACCTGAAGTTTTACTTGGCTGAGTGGTGACGTCTGAAGTAATGGGAGTTGTTACAGGCTCTGGCATGGTTGTGGCTGTCGGGTAAAAACACGAATTAAGAGATAAGAGATTAATAATATAAAAGACTACTAAACCAAAACAGTAGCTCACAATTTAATTTGCCGTTACCCAAGACGGATAAGATAATTATCCCATATAATAGTTCTTATGTATATATTTAACAAGTTACTAATACAGCATATATCTTTGTGGTTAGCAACCTCATGAGAGGTTGACTACGTAAATGATTCAAATCTGCTTCATAATTATAGCGAACGCATTTGCATTAAGAGGTGAATACGACCTCAAATATCATTACTAATTCATATTGATATACTTACTTGTAGACATAGTACTATTAGCAGTTGTTTGACAAAACATGCATGAAAGCATACAAGACACAACGACTCCAAAGAAAATGTTCCTCTGCTTGAGGTCCCATCGTAGTATCTTGGTGCACATAAAGCTATCTATAATCATGATCTTTATCATTATTATGCCACCACTGAGATTGCTACTGTCCTTAAAATGGGTGGTTTGCTAACATGTATGCGTTATATGGCGAAGGGTTGTTGAATATAACAGCGTCTTCAATAGCTATTCTGTCTTCTTGCGACGATTCAAGTTGACGGCATTAGACAAGGCGTCGCCCCTAGAACACACGTGCATGCGTACTACAGCAAATGAAACTAAAACATAAATATGACCGAGATTCCCATCGTTCAAATGCACGCTTCTGTTGAAAAGCAAGCTAAAGGGCATCGAATGACAAAGGGGTGGGGGTGTCACACCCCCATTTAATTATTTTTCAAGTCAAATCTCTTTTATTCTCTTGGGGTGGGGTGGGGCGGGGAGGAGAGGGGGTCTTGTTCGAAACCATACTGATCAAACATGACGAATCTTTTTGATCCGACACCTCGCCCCCATTTAAAATAGTCCTGAGATGCCCCTGGCCCAGCTATCAAAAGATACTTCCTTAAGATGAAGACAAAACAAATGTACTGACCAATGATTGATGAAGTGATTCCGAAACTAGATCAACCATTAAGAACTATTCTTTCCCGTATGTTCCCAGAGATGTCTCGTTAAAGGTAGTATCTGGCATTGATGAAACCAATCTTCGTTGTTACGAACAGCAAAACATCGATACAATGTAGTAATTAGTAAATACATCAAAAACACACACTAGATCAGTATTTCAATATACTTAAACGCTATGTAAAATATAATTATTTTTATATTCATTCAGAAATGCGAAAAAAACATCTAAAGTACATTTCAAGGGTGCTTACATCCGCCTTGGGCCATTTTATAATCAATTCTTAGGATAGAGTCGGATTTGGAAGAGGGTTTACCAACTTAGGATGACAGACATTGGCACTTTGTAATAGGTATTCTGCACTGTAGCATTTCATGCCGTTATCTATATACGAGCTTCAAAACTTAAACCTGATACCTGTTTAAATTTTTATAATAAACACTGCGAATTAAAGAGGAGGTTGAGTTCTGGTAAAAGTGAAAATAATAATGTGTGTGCTTTCTCATTTTCTTTTCATTAATCTTGAAGTATATTAAAGTGAATTCGTTTTTATTTGATTTATTTAATTTTCCTCTGCCCTCCTTATAAAAATTAACAATTTGCGGTAACATAACAAACATACAAAAATAAGAAGTACCTTCCGATAATTAAACATCAATTAGCAAATATACATTCCGATTATTATAAACAATATAAAGATAAATTATCAAATTATTGTATTTCATCAAACTTTATGCAATTATTTGCATAAGAAATGTCTCCTGAAGAGGACTGCTCCAAAAGTACCAGTACATTTAAAATATGACGATAATAAATGGAAATAAAATTTTGGACCAAACTTGCATGCCACATTAGTGTACAGTCTTATATACCCATTTTTTTTATATGCAGTGCATGTGATTTCAAGATTTAAACATCACATTATATGGAGATTTATTATCACATGTATTTATTTATTTTATCAGGGGGAGACGACGAACGTTTTGAAATATACCAGGAACACCCCTCCCTTCAGTTATGGTAGACAATGCAGTAAAATGTCATACATTTAACAAATACGATTCTCACTATTGTCATGACTGGACTAGATACAAATATTATGTGGTATATAAATCAACATTATAGATGAGTGGGCGTAGGAAAAGCGATTAAATAATAATGAAGGATGGCCAACCCTCTTGGCGTTTTTTGCTCTCGCTTTCACATTCATTATGACAATGATACCTACCCTTCAGCTCTGACATATGACACTGCTCCTTGGGATTTGTTTCTGAGAACCTATTCATAACTTAGTCTGGTTGTGTTCAAAATAAATGATTTAATTTGTAATGAAAGTTACCTCTTAAACAAAACCGAAAGTAAAAAAACAACAATGGATTGTTCTGATAGATTATTTTAGGCTCTTGTTGGCATGGTATGGTTCAATTCTCTCTCTCTCTCTCTCTCTCTCTCTCTCTCTCCCTCTCCTTCTCCCCCTCTTGCTCTGCTTCCATCTCCCATTTGTCTGTCCTATCATATTTCTTCGTATATCCATGTTCATGCTCTTATCGTGAATGAGGAGACAAACGAACCGTGCTCTATTTAGAATCGCAAGTTTAATTGCCTTTCTACAAAACATTACGAAGTCGGTTCCGTGTGTATAGTATTTGCTATATTCCCTTTAATCTATTATTGCGATTTTATTTTACAATTGTATATTCTAATGAATAAAAGAACTAATCAATTTACAAAATTAATATGTACAGCGCTATAAAAGATTTTAGACACAATCATGATTTACTGCTTTGAGTTACAAATGACTTTGTTTCCATAATACTTATAAATCTGGCAAGAAGATCTCACCTTAATCATGTTAATGCATTTTATGAACCTCGTTACTAAGGCAGGCTTCTGTTCCAGCTCTTCCCCCCCTCTCTCTCTCTCTCTCTCTCTCTGTGCCTATCTCTGTCTCTCTCTCTCTCTCTCTCCCACTCTAATGAATAAACTACATTCTTAAAGTACAAATGCATCATGTTACACGATGAAAATTAAATGCATTTATATAAACATAGAGTCGACGTGAAAACAGAATATGAATTTATATCATGCGAGTATACATTTTGACAACAAACAGTAGACAGAATATTCAAATTTAATATCCGGATAGCAATAATCTGCACCAGGCAGATGCATAGCCATAGGTAAGTAGATATTTACAGATGTTCCGCTGACTTTTCCTACAACTCATACAAAATATCAATGAAGATTATTTTATTTCTCTTTTCATCTTGTCCAATCCCTCGGGTTCAAAGAGTATTGAATAAAACCATCATCCTATCTGTAAATGCGTCATCATCTCTGCCTCCCTCTTTCTATCTCTGTCTCCCTCCCCTCCCCCTTCTCTCTCTCTCTCTCTCTCTCTCTCTCTCCCCTCTCTCTCTCTCTCTATCTCTCTCTCTCTCTCTCTCTCTCTCTCTCAACCCTCTCTACATTCTGTTCCTTTTGAAACACGCGTTCTCTCATTTTTCGGATTTTTTTTTTCCGTTGTCACAGGCGATTGACTCAGTCGGGAATTCTTTTGTTCATTTTATCTTAAACCGATTATTGAATGTTAGGGTATTATTATTCACATTGATAGTCTATGTTATTCTTGATCTTAGTTGAGTAAAACACCTTTCCCGATGTGCCTGAATGTGAATCTATCGTCGGTGACATGACATAATTTTCCCGACTCGTCGCGAAATACCCATGACCGGAATTGGAGTATCCGGCTGGCATGCACTTGTTAAAGTTCTTATTTTGTCCACCAAATTTGTTATTGGCGCCTTTATCCGCGTTGCTTGTATTACTTCCTCTGTCTGACCGGGGTGTGAGGATGGCATAGACCGGGCGAGCACCGGCGTTGGCTTGTACCGTGTGGTCAGACTTGGGTGGCGAGTCATTGAAGGCCGGCATTGGGGCTGGTGGAGGTGGTGCTTCTTTGTTCATCTTTCTAGACCCATGTACATAAAGTAACGAGGCATTATTAAAAAAAGGAAGATATGGACTAAAATCACGATGACATGTACATCAAAAATGTGCTTTCTTACAGGGCTATTTAAAAACTGATGAGGATAAGGCATAAACTTGACCAATTTACGTTACAAATAGGCCTATTCAGCATGTTGAAAAGTATGATGTCGAATCTAGAACATGAAAATAATGAGCTAAATAACATGGGACGCCTTCAACCCAATCTTTCGGGCATTATCTCAAGGGGTAAACGGAAGACGGCAAAACTAAAGAATGAAAATGCAAACGATAAGGAACAAAATGACTGCAGAGGTAATAACTTTTTCTTCTTGGTTTCTTACTTGCTAAGTTGGAAATGAAAGGGAGAGTTGGAGATAACATTGAAAAGCTGACGACCATCTTTTTTTCAACTGTAGCAATAGAAAATACAATATGACGACTTTGAAACTTTGGGTTGTTGGATAATCAATGGCTACTTGTTTGCAAATTAGCCCCGACAGCCCAGTCCCCCCCCCCCACCCCCCCCCCACACACACACACACTAGTCCCGCTACGCCCCTGATTTCAAGGAACATGGATTACCTCCTCATCCTCCATATTGTTAGTAGAATGAGTAGAATGAGAATGATGAGGAAGGCTACTACTAAGCCAATGATGATGTTTCTAACGCCACCTGCTGTAAGATACAAAGAAAAGTATACAGTCATGTACTGCTTTCCTGCTATTCTCAACGAAAACATTATATTATCCTATGTGTAAAATACTAATTGACATTATTATCGCCCAAAAATAATTCTCCACAACTGTCAATCATTTGATTATATGATGTTGTACTGCACACAACCATTTTCGATTCGACTGTCGGTAAACCATATTTCAAAAACTTTTAAGTGTGCTTCATACCCGCATCATTTGAAACAACAAATTACCGAGCATTGTTGATGACAAAGTCATTTTTCTATTTACTAGAATTTTCCCAAAAAAAAGAAAAGCAACAGACAGAGCCTCAAAATAAGACTTAAACATATTATTATCTTGCCAATCATCGTAATGTAGTGCAGACTACCGTTTTATATGCGATTGATAAAAAGATGTACCGGTGCATCAGGTTTCTTTAAATTCTTAAACTTGATAGAGATCTATACTTACTTCCTTTTGAAGGGCCTGGCATCTGGATGGATGTTCCATTTCCTTGAGGAGAAGAAGAGTTTGATACCAGTAAGCAATTATTAAAATTGTATAAAACATTTCGTTGGGATAAGCTGCAATTTCTGAATCAGTTGCTATACTGTTTGTCATCTTAATTAACCTAGACAGACAGACCCCCTCCCCCAAATCGAATGGCGTCGAGAGAGGGGGAGAGAGAGAGGGGGAGGGGTGAGAGAGAGAGAGAGAGAGAGAGAGGGGGAAAAAAGAGAAAGAGAGAGAGAGAGAGAGAAAGAGAGAGAGAGAGGGGGGGGGAGTAAAATAATTTTTCCATTAAGGCCTAATTTTAGAGTCAATAATTTTTAACACTGATATTTATTTAATGTTATTATTTTATCAAAATTATCATTGCTTTTATGCAAGAACAGTGATTAACGAGCTAAAATAATATTTGTGCATGAGATACATATACATAGGCCTATATATGGCCCAATACAAGAGCTGTTTATATTTTGTATAGGTTTTGATACTTAATTTTATGCTACTGGTTTGATGTAAATTGTTCATTCTTACCTATACAAACAGGTGCTATACCATCCCAAGCCAGGCTCTTGATTGGCCGTTGAGTCTGATCACGTGGTATGCACTGTATTGTAGTGTTACCTAACAGTTTATAACCTGTGTTGCAGCGAAATTTGACCTTTGCCCCGAATCGGAAGTAGTCATCTTGTCGTTTGCCATTGGCGGGATCTCCAGGGTGTCTACAAAACCCGGTATTAGCTGAAGAAAAAAGAAAGAAAAGTGGGTCGTCAATCGTTCTTGAAAGAAAGAAAATCATGTATAAATCTTCAATTTTAAAGGTAATACAAAGTTTGGGTATGGGGTCATGAATTTGGTTCAAATGAACATATTGGAAGCATATTATGTGATCCTACAATATTCAGTGATCGTTGTCGCGGTTGAAATCGAGTCTAAAGTTATGAAATTATAATTAATACACTCTTTATGTTGTATAGCTCCCTCTCAAGGTCAAGTTTTAATTAAGCTATATAACAATGTTTCTTGTCTAAAATCGACCGATTAGCTATTCCCGTTCGGAAACTATATATCACAACTACATATTCTGAGATTTTCATGGTCGCAGCTACCATTGTACGGCCGTAGGCGCTATTTGAAATTTATCAAAATTTACCGGGAGCACCGGTAAATGTTTATATTCAATTTTACTCGAAAGCAGAAGTGTTTTAGGGGCTAAATTTTCTAGCGCTTATAATACATCCACAGGGACATCCAAATATATCAACATTGCGAAGAATCACTATCCACCCAATTTTCGAAAATTCCCAAAACTTTGTAATCGCCGAATTTCGCCTACGTTTTTTTAAACACGCGCGCATACACACAATTCTGTTACATTTTTATTAATAAAACCATGTTGATGATGTCACTCACTCTTATAGACCATTAGTCTTCCCTCAGTGTATCCTCCGCAGACCTGTCGTGAGTCGCCAGGACATGGCATACGACATCTGTAGTCGTGATAATAGTCGCTGTCTATTGGTATACCTAATCCACACGTACAGTCAGTAGCTCGTACGGCAGCCAGCTCATACTTGCCCTTATCACAATGTTGAATGCAGAGGTCGCCAGTCATTCGGTTATCAGAGAGATGGTTGTCTCGCAGGAGTAAGGAAGAAGACGAACGGCCGAAGCAACCCTGGTAACCAGGCTCTGTGAAAGAATGACACAGAATGTTGAGTAAACGTAAGCAGACCGTTGGTAGCATTCTGACCAAAGTTTCCGCCCTTGTTGTACATACAAAACTCCCATACGTGCCCCTGCCTCGCTCCCCTTATTCATTTACCATTTTCGACAACAGCACGATATTCCAGACAAGGTAAAAATTGGTCACCATACCAGTTTGTTTAAGTTCAATTCATGACAAATAGGTATAACTACTTAGGTGATTGTTGAAAGATCTTTCAATAAATCATTTCTTTTAGGAGGTTTCATTAGCACGAAAAAAATGAATAAAATTCAATTTCATTTCACTTTGACAAACAAAACTTTTTATTTATTAAATTAATTATTTTAGGCTCGTCAGATAGTTTGGACACATAAAACTTAACAGCTTTTAAAAACCAGCTCCCTTCAAAAACGTCTGGTCCCTGAACTTTCTTTTTCTGCTCCTATTGTCTGTCATGATTTTTCATCAGATATACAGTGATTTTCGTCATCTTTAATATAAGACATGGGAGCGTTCCCTGTTCTAAATCAAAGGCGGATCTCTTTGTCTTAAGATATGTACTCTGTTATGAGGGCATCCGACTCCTTTTGTGTCTCCAACTGTGTATCATCAGAATATGCAAGTGATTATCCTACTTCCACGTGACAACAGTACTTCACGTCAAGAAAATGTCACACAAAGATAACATCGTCTGCTTTTTAGATACTGGTTGCCAACTTTATTAGAATTGCTAGATCTTGATGTAGGGACATAGCATGAGTCCAGCCATGGAGAGGGGCTGTATCCCTGCCATGGAAGGTGGATTGAATGCGCGCGAACAAAGCAATCGAGGGAAGGTAAGGTGAGGGAGAAAGTCGTATACTTTACTTAACCTCCCCCTTGCTCTCCCTCTCTCCCTCTTAACTACTTATTTCTGAATTCGACCAGGAGCCCGTACCCCATGCCCCTTCTTAATAGCTACATGATCATCTTGATGGATGCTCCATTGAGACTACTCACTTTGGCAAACGACTCCAGCCCCACCGCCAGATGGACAAAAGCCTCGGGTTTTGGTGTAGCGACAGTCTGTCAGTTTACCCTCATCTATGATCAGGATACAAACATGAACCATAGATATTAGAGGAAGTTATCTCGATATTATCTGACCGTGACAGATGTAGGATAGGAAAGTGATCGTTGATCGCATGCCAAATAAATATTACATGATGAGTTTGGTCAAGTTGACAAATCTTCTAAACTCTGAAGCACACGGACAGTATATCATCTATTTAATTATACTTCCTGTAGTTTTCCTCATGTATTAGCAGGGTTTTATTTTATTTTACAGAGATTGCGTTATTCTTTAAAAAAAAAAAAAAAAACGTTTTATAACTGTATGCATTTTTTTTTTTTGGGGGGGGGGCGTGAATCAAAAAAGACAATAGAAAAATAAATGAGAAATTAACAAAGAGATTTTAAAAGACACCATGCAAAGAATTAAGATATATAAGATTTGAAAACAAAGAAAATATGAAGATTGTGAATGACTGATTGGAAGAGACATTTTCACTGATAATATATATATATCTTTATGCCTGGAATTGTATCTTTAGCAACGGAATCGAAACCTTAAAGTATGAATCAGTTTGAATAAAAATACATGTAAAGCGTATAAACAACAATTCTTTGAAGTAATTGGTTGAACACAAGTTAAAATCGGGCTTCATATTAAAAATGACTCTGGGACAGGTCGTTGACTTCTTGCATAATAATGAACATTTCTCGCTTTAAAATAATACTCTGATAGATGCTAAACACAAAATTTGGGTCTATATCATTGATGGTATTACAATGATATCTTAAAGGAGCTGCATTAATAATTACCTCCATTACACAGAAATGTTGAGGCAATTAAAGGGAGATTCCCCGATCCAAAAACTTCTCCCATAGTTCTTAGCGCTGCTCCAGGATAACCAAGTTGATTACAGGCAACTGTAGCGTCCATTATAGACCAGCCTTCATCGCAGATCGACCCGATGCTTTCCGAACCCAACACGAGCTCTACTCGGCCTTCATTCGGAGAGATTCCGCCTGTTAATCTTATATCTGTAACGTGAGAGGGGATTAGGGACAGAGAGAAAGAGAGAGGTTGAGAGAAAGAGAGAGAGAGAGAGAGAGAGAGAGAGAGGGGGAGAGAGAGAGAGAGAGAGAGAGAGAGAGAGAGAGAGAGGGGGGAGGGGGAGGGGAGATGGGGACCATAATTAATTTTTAAAACATGTCAAATGTGGTGTGTACAATTAAAATGTATTTCAAATTCTGTATGTAAATGGCACAGAAAAGAGAGTACTGTACTTAATCCAAAACGTATTACGATTTGCTTATTATTCATAACGCTGAATAAATTATCAATCTCATAACGATTTTAAATATTCCACTAGAAATGCAACATACCTCTCCCAAAGACAATCTGTACATTTTAATCATCGCCCTATCCCACCCCCTCTTTCAATCTCACTCTCTCTCTTTCTCTCTCTTTCTCTCTCTCTCTCTTTCTTTTTCTCTCTGTCTCTCCCTCTCTCGTTCTGTCCCATTCTCTCTCTACCCTCTCCTCCTAACTCTTTGCTACATTTTTTCTAGGTGCCTCTTTTTCTCCTCGATATTTATCACATGCGTTTCTTTCTCATTCCACTACCTCTGTATCTATCCTTCTGATAGCGTCATCATGGCCACCATTATGCTCAAAGCTGTCACCTAATTTCCTGTAGTCATTCATCACTAGTTATCTCCCTCCTCATTCCTGTCATCCAACACTCTCTCCGTCTACCTGTCTTCTCTTATCGCTCTACTCATAGGTGAACTCGAGTGTATCAGTGCCTCTGATCACTTACATTCACCCCCCCCCCCTCCCTTTCGCCCCATCCCCATCCCCTCTCTCTCCACCCCTTCTCATACTTCTTTTTCACCTACAGCTCAGTCGGTAGAGCAGTGGTTCGAAACCAAGTCGACGCGCTAGTGCCCTTTGGTAAGGCAGTAATCCTCATTACCAGGTTCGTCGGAGAGGACCTTAAGCCGTCGGTCTTCTGGTTGCTTACTAAAAAGCATTTTACTGCTTTCTTTTAGTTGTCAGGTAAAATAACCACCACTATCCCTATAATACTCTCTCTCTCTCTCTCTCTCTCTCTCTCTCTCTCTCTCTCTCTCTCTCTCTATCTTGCTGTAGTATGTGCACAGCTTTCATTCTTTGTATGTCTCTGTTTTTGTAATTCTATGTATCTATCTATCTACCTATATCTACCTCCTCCTGTCTCTTTATATCTCTTTCTTCTTCCTCCTATTCTCTCTCTCTCTCTCTCTCTCTCTCTCTCTCTCTCTCTCTCTCTCTCTCTCTCTCTCTCTCTCAATTAACATCCATACCCCTTTACTCATAACATTACAGCCTGTAACTATCAAAGTAGTTTGAACTACTCACCTAGACATGTGGACCAGAAGTCTGGACAGCAATTTCCATTAGTGATACATTTATTATCGCACTGACATGTTGCATAATTGACAACAAGATCACACCTCCCTCTGCATGTGTGAGCTGTGTTAAAGACAAAATAAGACTTATATTATATTGATATCAAATTCTATCACTAAAACTCCGTAGTTTCTGTATAATGAATTAGACAAAAAAATAGAGCAGGTAGAGACATAAAACAATATAGAAAAATTTGACCCTAAACCATTTTTTTTTACCTGAGCCTATTAAGAGTTAAGGGCAATCTCACATTCGTAAAAAGAAAAAATAAATGAATAAACAAATAAATAGATAAATAAATAAAGTTCAGTAATTGTAAACACATTGAAGAAATATCCCTCCGAAATCCAAGGCTTGTAATAGACAGGAGAAACAACCACAAAATGCTATTAAAAAAAATTATTATTCACATTCAATAATAGCTGTTCTGTACTATTTTTAAGATCGAAAGCCACCTAGCCCGACATCATTTTCAAATAAAATTTTAGACTTGTATGTTGCCATTATGGTTCAGCTAGATGGCGGTACAAACTGATCTGTCATAAACTTGGCAAAACACCCATCTGTAGATTTATGTTTTTTAACCTTGTAATTGACTGACCACATAATGGCCGACGGTCGTTACGTGTATTGCTATCATACATCTATAATTAGACAATGGGGGAGGGGGGGAGGGGGTGCTCATTCAATCATCTCCCGTCATCAAACCTCGATCAAGGTTCGTTCTAACTGAATCAAAATCTGAATATCTAATCCACTACAATAATTTATCGCATTTTTATAGCCAAAATAGCGATTCACAAGGATTTGGCATACAGCTTACCCAGTGGCGGTACAAGGATTTTAAATTGAGGGGGGGGGGGGGGGTAATGGGATGTTGTGGTCAAGTAGAAATATGAGGATGTGACAAATTAGGCATTTTAAACTGAATGGGGCCAGTGTTGGGATAGGGTAGGGACAGGACTTGTCGGTGTGGGGTAAATTGCCCTCCCTCCTTGATGACGCAATCGATTACGAACTTTTTAGTGCAGTGTTTGTATAAATATAAATTTAAAGTGGAATACATAAGCATTCATATTTTTCTGCAATACTTTTGGTTTGTACGACATGGGGAAGACGAGTTCTAATTTGACCACTAAATGTCTGAATTATTCGTTTTTATATCTGTATATCGGTAAGCAATAGTTGTAATACATTATGAACCGTCGAGGAGAGGTTAGTATACAGTTATTCTCATGAAGTTTCCAAATATCACTGTCATGGTAAAATGGAATGATCGAGGTAACTTTCTACTTCTTATAACTTCGCTAGTGAGAAAGCATCTTTTGTCTCTCTCCATGTTGTAGACTATATACAGACAAGATTCATGATTAAAGTCGGAAGGGCAGGGCTGTCTTATGATACGGTCCTCATCAGGTTTACTTCCTCTTCCGTCCCCTTTCTAAAGGGCAACGAGTCCTGGAGGCTAAGTACGGCCCGGGATGATGATCAACATCTTAAAGGGGGATCTTGAGGTTCTGGTCAGGAGAAACGAGAGAAGTGGTCTACGAGTCGAATTCTGAACTAAGCATCATTCAGTGAATGTCAGATATACTGGAAACAACATTACACAATTACGATTATGTATTCAAATAATAAGAAAATCGGATACTGTGCATTCCTACTGAAAACCATCAACGCAGAAAGGCAAACTGGGTTTATCGACATCATGATCTGCAGCCCGATTACTTCCTCTCTCGATCCTTATTATTCAGCTGTTATTTCATTTTTGGACCAAATTACTTCTGGGAAGATTAGCATGCTGTCTGATATACAGTATATCAAAATGTCTTCAAATAATAATTTCAACCTTACCATAACTCAGTAATATATACCGATACCTTTAAAAGGATGCTATTTTCTAGGGATAAAGTGGGGTCGCTTTCGAAATCACTCCGCGTGTCATCTACTTGAACTCATTTTCTGTTTGAGGTTTTCATTTTCTTTCTTTTTGTTATAGACACGTTTAGTATTTCTCGTCTTCTTTTCATCTCGCGCATCTCGTCTCACTTTGCACATTTCAACGTATTTTATCATCTACTTGTTATTCCTGTCCTCTTCTCTTTTTGTTCGTTCATTCTATCATCGCTTTACAATTGCCCCTTTGATGAGTAGAATATACTTTGATGAAGGCAATATGTTTTTGCATATTCCACTCATCTTTCTTCTGCATTATACATATTTTAAACCCCTTTTCTCATTTGACATTTTGTTCACATCACCTTGTACATCTTCTTCACCAATTATGAGAAACTGTGAGCCGAGTCAATCGTTCATGAGGTCAAGTCTATACAAGTGTAACGTAGCAAGGAGATATCTCTACACTCAATAATTATTTAGAAATGAAATATGACATAGTTCATACGAGTATTGTAACCTCATAATCCTATTGTTTTACAGCCTACTTCCAATTTACCCCAACGTTCTATTTGTCTTTGTCATGATCTTCTGAAGTGAAATGAGGAACATCGTCATTCGAAGCGGACAAGGGACACTAATACATGATTTGTAATTCAATTTTCCGTATGTCTAACGAAAGAGACTTATCCTGACAGTAATATTATAAGAATATCCTCTGTGACCATGCATTGGTCATCGTCTACAGACTGATCCATATAAAGTATTGACCTTCTAACAAGGATGTTTGGTCAGTTCCCGCAGATTTCAAACTGAAATATGGTACTCTGCCAAGTAGCTAGAAGAGCTGTCAGTTCACGACTTTTGTTATACCTTGATTATTCATATTTATGGCCTGCAAATAATTTAGCATCTATATTATGTTCTCAGATAAAACTTGCTAACCACACTTTCAACTACTCTTTTCTTTCATGCAATAACAGGGCTAAGCTTATGTTTTGAGTTATGAGAGCATCCCCTCACTCAGTTTTTTTTCTTTGTGTGTATGTACTGTAGAATGATTATGATGTTATTTAGTTCAATACCCTAGTGATAAAATAGGGATCGTTGATCTTGCTTACAATAATCATTCGATATTTTACTCATACTTTTAGTTTATTGTGTCAAGGCCTCATTAGATCAGCAATTGTGACATATCCCGGAATTAGATCTGATACACGATGATTGATTTGCACCATTAAAGGGCAATGCTACCTTTATCACAAGTTGAATTTTGTGAAAGCTGGAGAGAAAAAAATGTTAGAAACAGGCAGAAGAAATTTTGAAAGAAAATGCTTAAAAGTGAAAAGAAATTATGAATTCTTAAAGTTGAGATCACTAAAACTATATGTGAATCTCGAGTTGGTAAAGTTGTCATACCTCTGAGGCTTAATTCTGTATGGCATGTTGTTTTATCCTGGGGAGAAGGATTTCTATATAACCACGACATTAAGATCTTCCTCATTCTGTGTGTAGGAACGAATAGGAACTATTATCTGATGATACATCACCTCACCATTTTACAAAACCTCTAATTTTGGTATTGACAACTTATATTATACTTAATTATCTCAACTTTGAAAACTTAAGCAGGTTCGTATTGTCAAAAGTATTTTATTCAATACTTTACAAATCTGTTTATCTGTATGTTTATTCATCATTCACTTGCAAATTTATTTAGACCTAGGCCTATGTGAAGATTATTTTGTAATTCTTTGACCCCTCCCCATAAAACACGACAAAAAGCAAATAATCAATGGGAGAGAGAGTGACTACGTTTTTCACACAGCCAAGTGCAAAATTATAATTTAAAATTACATTACAAATTTTTATGAAGTTGACATTTTGAACCACGAATAATTAATTCAGTCGGTATTTGCAGGTATACGCTTGACACGTAAGCACAATGGGGAATTATTATCGTTACCTCATTTAATATTACACTGTACAATATCAGATTTATGATAACCGATTAGGTCCATGGTGCATGTATGCTTGTCATTTAGATGCAAAGAAAACTTCTACAGTTTGAGAACGTTTTCCTTTAACTTTGGTTGCTGGCCGTGTAACAGAACAATCGCCTCACTTCCAGTAATTGAACTAAATTCCTCGTTTAACGGATTGCACTGAGTCACTCAGGGTAGGAATGAATGTGATGTGATTTGATGGTGATTGGTTTTGTTTTAGGTATTGTTTTGTTTTTGCCAAACTTTCCTCGAATAATTATTTTCTTTTAGTGTTTTTTTTAAATGTTGATTTATACCAATTTGGAGATTACGTATTAAAGATATCTAACAGTAGGCCTATATCCAATACAGTGAACTGTTTCTATAAAGGTCACAATAGGAAGATAAATGGTCTTTATAATCTGGTTCTCTTCCGAGAAGGAAGGGAGGGAGAGAGTGTATGAGAGAGAGAGAGAGAGAGAGAGAGAGAGAGAGAGAGGGGAGAGAGGAGAGGAAGAGTGTAAGAGTAGAAAAGGAGAGAGTGGGGAAGAAGAGTGGAGAGAAAAGCAAAATAGGGGTAAATGAGGGGAGGTGCCACTTGCCAAAAAAACAAAACAAACATACAAACAATAATGATTCATGTATGCCCAATAATTGGTATCGGTATTGTTTCGATGGTTTCCGAATAACATCACACGTCCGATTGTATTACCTCTTCGTTTTGTTATGAACGAAAAGTGTACTGAACCCTTTGTGAAAAATGGTTCTAGGTCAATTACCCCCCGGAAGATTACCCTCCGAAGATAACCACTCCAAGGACAATTACCCCCGGAAGATTTCCCTCCGAAGATAACCACTCCAAGGACAATTACCCCCGGAAGATTACCCTCCGAAGACAACCACTCCAAGGACAATTACCCCCGGAAAATTACCCTCCGAAGACAACCACTCCAAGGACAATTACCCCCGAAAAAATTACCCCCGAGGACAATCACCCCTAGGACAAATTACGGGGGGGGGGGGTAATTTTCGGGGGGGGGGGGGTTATTGTCCTTGAGGGTTAGTTTTCCGGAGGGAATTTTTGGGGGGTGATTGTCCATGGGGAATACGGTGGAAACAAACATGAGTGTCAACATACACGAACTTCTAAAACACGACATCTTTCTCTTGCAATTCAATGTGTTATTAAAAGCTATTATGATCATTTAAATTTATGTTCGTTTCATTACATTACACTGGTTATCAATCTGAACGCTTCTGCATTTAATACAGAGGTTGAATTGAACATTTTTGTGGAAAAACAACTGAATCGAACCGGCCTCTGTTTAACGCAATTTGAATGTAAGGTAACAGGCTTAAAGACGTAAATTCCCATCATTATCGAATCATCTTCAGCGGAAGCACACAGATTCCGTTGCCAACCCTTTGCCAACAACGATAAATAAACACAAACAAACCCCTGCTATAATTATATAACAAATGATTTCATTGATTTCAATGATAACATACATTTCAAGTGAGAGAAGCCGCATACCAATGTGCCGCTGTATATGTAGTCACCGTTAGCCGACTTTGTCGCCCAAAATTAATGAGATAATTCATGAAAATAACCAATAGGAGGGAACATGAACAGCTAGTCGACTTGTGATGAGAGAGAGAAAAAAAAAATAGAGTGACAGAGGGGGTGGGGAGGAGAAAGAGAGAGATAGACAGATAGATAGGTAGAGAAAGAGAGAGACGGAGAGACATGGAGAGAGAGAGAGAGAGAGAGAGAGAGAGAGAGAGAGATAGAGAAGAGAGAGGGGGCGTAAGAAAAGGGGGAGAAAGAAGGAAAGAGAAATCGACAGAGAGAGAGAGAGAGAGGGGGGGGGTGTACATCAGATGATATAAAATCATAATAAGGCAAGACAAGTATGCACGTGAATATAGTAAAGAAAAATGGAAAGAGATAAAAGGCTGCGCAAAACAAAAATGTGGCCAATTATAAATATAATTTACAATAAATTTTGTAATTGAATCTATCGACAGTGATAACAATCGCTTTCCCTGGGATAGCAAACAAAACCAAATATTATCATCGTTGCTATCGTCTTTATAAAAGCGTAGAGCCATTCATTCATGACGGTCGCTTGCCACAGTGATGGATGAGGGCTCAGTGTAACTAATAACAAACATAAAAACAAATTGAAACAATTTTTAAAGTTTAATAATTTAAGTAATATTTTTAATATAATTTCAACTTACCTTCCACAGATGTGTGTATCCACAACAACGATAGAAAAACGGTTGAATACAGCATTTTCATCATGTTAGTACATTAGTGAGATGGAAGACCTGCTGAAACTCTCCATATACAACGCTTCATCTACCAATACAACGAACCTAACTCATGTACGTCAGTATAAACCTGCAGGATTCGAATGAAACGGTTATCTCCTGCCCGTTGACATGCCCGAACAAAATTTGTGACATCCCGTATTGACTCATGTTTAAACTGCGTGGAGGAATGTTGTGTTTGGTCTGCACAGGCTTCCCCTTATAGTTTCAACCTAAACTCGGCTATAATATATCCGATACTCTTGATAGTATCATAGACGAATATCCGTTTGGAGAATCCGGTTGGCATGGATTGGTGCAGGCAGGTAGAGGCGGTTTGTTGTGAGGGGGAGGAGGTAAGGAGGAGAGAAAGAAAGAAAAGAAGGGGGAGATAAAGAGAGACAGAGAGAGACAGAGAGAGAGACGAACAGACAGACAGAGACAGACAGAGACAGAGACTCAGATTTGAGTATAGGGGCAATTATCAGATGTGAAGGGGGGCACTCATCAGATATTGAAAGGGTCAAAGGGGGTATTTATTACAAGGGGAAGGGGCACCTCTCAAAAGAATAGGGGCAATTAAAAGAGTTGAAGAGTTGATGTGGTATAATTAATAAGACTTTAGATCGGAAACCTATTAAAAAGAAAAAAGGGGCACCTATCTGAAATAACATGGGACATTTTCCCTACATGAAGAGGGGCACTTTAAGGGAGAGGTGGGGCATTGTTCCCCTGTCCCTGCCCCCCCCCCCACCCCCAGAGAGGCGCCGCTGTTGTTTGATGATGATTATCATGAGGATGGTGATGACGAGGACAACAATGTTGTGATCTATTTCTTACCCAGGTAAGAATCCTCCAGAGGAGTGCCTCTAGTTCACGACACGTTGTTGTGCTCTCAGAAGCTTTGTTCTTGTTGCTATTCTCCGTTTTATGCTCTAAGCATCAGAAAGAAAAAGATGGTTTTTATTATTTTTTCTGTACCGAATATAATTGATCAGAATTGATCGCAAGTTCTCCGATCAACTGCTAGGTAACAAACTCCTATTTCGTATGTATAGAGTTGCGATTGATATCGAGTTTTTATCAATTTCAATCAATCCCAACATTATGCATTAAGTCGGGGCCTTTCTTGCTTCATTTCCAATTCATTGTGATGAAATCAAACAATCTTCATATAGCATCCAATATTAAAACAGTATTCATCAAGTTTGTTGAATTAGAATTATCTTATTTTTACCAATTTCCGTACGATTGCCAGTTTAGACCTAAAGCGAACTAACACCGGTCTTATGTAAAAAAACAATTGTCGTTGCAATAAACATTGACACTTAACAAAAAATAGTTGATCAATATTGTATTGATCAGTATTTCAAAGGGTCGCATAACGTCGATTAATTATGCCTGATGTGACCATTTGCCCCCTTTGTTCTCTGTCTGTATGTCACAGCTCTCCGGTGGGTGTACGTCCATGTCTGTATGTCACAGCTCTCTGGTGGGTGTACGTCCATGTCTGTATGTCACAGCTCTCCGGTGGGTGTACGTCCATGTCTGTATGTCACGGCTCTCTGGTGGGGGTACGCAGGGGCGGGTCCAGCCGGCGGCAGGGGAGGGGGCCCAATTCGTGAGAAAATATTTAGCGGCGAAACAGCCGGCCGAAAATTCGCAGTGGGTGGGGGGAGGTACCACTAATTTTTTTTTGGCTCACGAAAATTTAAAAAAAATCGCACCCCCCCCCCCCTTGAGCACCAGGGGAGGGGGCCCATCTCCAAAAAAAGAGAGGTTAAATTAACGTTTTTTACACGTTTTTTCCCCAGGGGAGGGGGCCCCCCTGGATCCGCCACTGCACACATGACACACATACCCCCTTTAGCGACGCCCCTGGGTGGGGATTGCATGTGCAAGATTAGGGCCTATGTTTACAAAGCACTCCACAGTACGGTAATCAATCTCTATTTAAATACGGGATGTGTACTTCAACTAGCGACCGAGTGGTGTGTATACAATGTATGGCGACAGCGAAAGCGTTTCGCATAAGAAAATAAATAGATAGCAGAGGCGGGAGGTGCATGGAGTTACCTACATTTTGATCAGCGTGCATACATCAAAGATTTAATTGCTAATTTCGAAAGACATATGAAGGGCATATATCCCATGTAATTACGTGCTCTGACTGATGACTTTATGACTGCATTACCCGTTTCATCTCTCACACTTGATTTTGTTGGACAAAACGAAGCAATAACTATTCGCCAACGCCCAAACGGATAGCTGGCAGACAGGGGAGAAGAATACGCTCTACCTGTTATTTTCTCTATTTCCATTAAACCGGTATTCTAGGAAAACAATATATTCTGTCCTTTTGTATTAAGACGTTATTTTGTGTGCTGGCCTTTATTATATCAATCGCCCAAACCGATAATGGATGAATCATCTAACCTTGAATTGAACTCAGACTGGGAAAATCCTGAAAGTAAACATTATTTAGTGGTAGTCATCGACGTCGTGCTTATATTCATCATCATCGCATCCATTGCCGGGAATTTATTAGTATGTATATCTGTTGGTTTGGATGCTACATTACGCACACCAAGTAATGTGTTCATAGCATCATTGGCAGTAGCTGATCTGTTGTTAGCCGTTCTTGTCATGCCCTTCTCGCTGTCTACTAACATCGTCCATCGGAACATCTTCAGTCCTATATTCTGCAAGACCTGGATATCATTTGATGTCACGTTTTGTTCGACATCTGTGATCCATCTCTGTGTGATTAGTCTTGACCGTTACTTCCATATCAAGGAACCATTTAAATACAAACGATGGATGACAAACAAACTTGCTCTGGTGATAAGTATCATAGTATGGATGTTCAAGGCTCTGTGCGCATTCGTGCCGATATTTTTAGGTAAATTCAAAGCAGAACGATCGTCAGATGACACTCTGAACGCTACAATATTAAATGATGACGAGGAAGAGAATCTTACGGGATGGCATCTATCAGGATTTATCTTCTGCGAACATGCTTTCAACGAGACATATTCAACCATTATTGTATTTGTCGATTTTTTAATCCCGAGTTCAATTCTTATTTTCGTTTACGCGCGAATATTTCATCTCATTCAAACGCGCTCTAAAAACTTACGTCAGGGTCGTCTAGCACAAGGCAAATCGAATGATGAGAACAACGCAAGGTCACTAACAGACTTCCGGGTCAACAGTCAGCATCAATCTCACCACAAAGCTGCTCTCATGCTTGGTACAATCATTGGCCTTTTTTTGATTTGCTGGACGCCATTTTTCCTCAGACTTCTTGTATGCTCCTTTCAGCAGTGTGTCTCTTTCTCCTCGAAGACAGATGAAATATTAACATGGCTAGGATATCTCAACTCATGTATGAACCCGATTGTGTATTCTATTTCTAATCCTGAGTTCCGCCAATCGTTTAAGAATAATATTCATCACAAACCAATGTCATGGATGATATCTAGGACACGCAGGTTATCATTACAATACAGACGTAATGCACGTACTGTTGAGTCAACTTGTTAGATAGCTTTGTATCATAAGCTCGGACTAGACATGTAAAATAGATCGTCAACTTGTATTGGTCAATATCACCTTCAAACCAGCTTATGTTTGTTTCTAAGAGTCTTAAGAAAAATATGTATCGTAATATTTTGATTTTGGTAATAGAAAATTGAAAGATTGCGGCTGTGTGATATTAGGACTAATCTGATGTAATGGCCTGTCATGATTTGTTCACGAACAACGATCTACTGTTTTAATAGTTCCACCATCATTACCTATACCATAAATCACGCTGCGTAAGATTACTGAAACACAAAAATAAATGTTGCTCGGTTTCCCAAATGTGAAATCATCATTTAAAGAGTTCAGCTGGAATTCGGAAACTTTTTTTTCTCTCTCTCCTTCTTTTCTTATTTTGGCCCTCTCATTTCCCTCCATGTCCCCCCTGCGTACGCGCCTTGAAGATTAGTTCAAATTATGAGAGATGTGGAGTGAAATAGTACAGGTGCATGAGTTATGTATTATATGTTACGACGAATGCGGGCGGACCAGATTACAAGATACAAGATACAAGATATTTTAGTTGGTCTTTGTAAACAAATTACATAGAAATTTGGTTTCCACTGACGTTACAGTAATATTCAGGAAAATACATTATTACAAGAAATAAGTACATAAGGTTCATAGAAATAGAAGACAAAAGGAACAATTACATGCAAAAGATAAAGAAGCGACAAAAATGGTCATTGGTACTTCAAATCATGAGTTTCAAAATTAAGCCTTGATCATTGGTATTTCAAATCATAATAGTTTCAGTATTCATTAATTTCCGACGCAGAAGTATAACGTTTAGCCTGTGAGTTGAATTTATGAACAGAGTCGGGTACAAATGAATATCTGAATCGTGAAAGGCGGGTTGGGGTGGGGCGAAGTAGGATACCAGAACGATTAAATGAATAATATAAATGAAGTGGATGAGTATTGTCTTTCATGATTGAACAGACCTTATCAACAATTTGCTCAGTACAATGAGACTCTCTACCCCAATTATTCGCTGTGCTATTTTACGTGGCCTTTCCAATTTCTTCTTGTCCTGTTTTGAGAGATTGCCAAATGAGCATATACTATTGAAAAGCAGGACCAGGATACTCTTTATTATTGAATTGTAGAACAGGGTCAGGATTGTTGCATCAACATGGAAACTTTTCAACTTACGCAGAAAAATCAACCTCTTGTTAGCTCTCTTATACACTGATTGTGTGTTATCCCTCCATGATAATTTGTCACTTAAGACAGTTCCAAGATATTTATAGTTTCCAACCTGTTCAATCGACTCATTGTGAATGATCACATTCTCGTGGTCTGTTCCTTTCCGACGGAAGTCGATTACCATTTCTTTGGTTTTGGTTGTGTTTAATGTTAAGTAATGATCATCACACCAGCGAATGAATTTGTCTACTTGTGATAAAGAATCATTCGCCCGATCGGACAAAAGAGCAACAATTACAGTGTCATCAGCATATTTGAGTATGCTACAACAAGAAGTTGAGCTTACTCAACTCTGGAAATTAATAAATAACCTTTAAAGGGCCCATGACATCGAAATACAATTGAATCCCTGTTGGTGTGCAGTCCTGCATACATCTCATATTTTGATGTGTAAACTTCTGAATTTGTTTCATAGATTTTTAAATATTTTAAAATTATTTTTAAATATAGCCCCCGTATTGTGACACTGGCAGGTAACTATTCTTTCTTTCTCTCTTTAGCATATTTTTTCAAAAAGGTGAGGGGGGGCTAAACCTCCCTGATCCCCGCCGTTCCCCAAACGCCCCCATGGCTACGCGCCTGCGGTCAGATGAACATATTTTGATACCTTGTCCGCCCCCGGAAACTCAGGGGTTTAAGGCATTAAATCACCGTCAGATTAGCATCCAGGGGTCCGTCTTAGGGCCTTAGGCGGGGTCCAAGGGACAGAGCCCCCGAAAGCTCAGATGTTTTAGGCGTTTAATTGCGGTCAGATAAGCATTTTTAATACCTTATTTTGTTGTGACACTGGCGGTTAACTATTTTTTCTTTCTATTTCTCTTTAATATATTTTTACAAAAAAGTGTAGGGGGGTGGGAGGGAGCTGGAGGCTCCCTATCCCCCCGTTTCGCGGGCCCTAACATGTAGGCATCTCAAGAAGCATATTTCTTGCCTGGCTGTACATTTAGGAACAAACGCATAAAAATGTATAATATACTAATAAATGAGGAAAAATCTTTTCAGCATTATGTGTAAACCACCGTTATGGAATTAGAAATAAACAACGTTTAAATTTTATTTCCCCCGAGCCCCCTCCCCGATCAGTACGCCAGTGCCCCCCCCCCCCCTGATCTACACTGATCTTTGTTGGCGGAAAAATCGCAACTGATTTCGATCCCCTACCTTTCTTCTTTCTCTTTTTTTTCCTTCCCCTTTACCAGAGCTTGGCCTATACGTTAACATTTTGCCATGAAGAGCCGTGTACTAATATATAAACAAAGGATTCATTGTCTTATGATATCAATTCAAGTAACGTTTGTAAAGGGAGGCCTAAAACAAACCAAACTGAATGGTAGTAAAAATATAAAAAAATAAATTAAGATTTATGTAGCACATTTTTTGTTATTTCACCTATAAAGACATTTTTCAATCTGAATTTTTATCGAATAATACATGTTTATTTAAACTCATACTGTTCTTTCTCTCTCTCCCTCTCTCTCTCTCTTTCTCTCTCTTTCTCTCTGTCTCTCTCTTTCTCTCTCCCTCCCCCCTCTCTCTCTCCCTCTCTCTCTCTCTCACTCTCTTCCTCTCATCTACTTTTCACTCCTTTCTCTTTCTGACTTTACCTCCCTCTTTTATCCTTTCTCATTTTCTCTCACTAAGCTTTATTTATAACAAACAATGAGATCAAGAATGTAGAGAGAAAAATGTATCAAAGTATACAAGAGATTAATTGTATTACAACCCTTGAAGAAACTTTACAAAATGTTTGTGTACGCACTATACAAGGAAAAAATGTTCACTAATTTCTTTCAAGTTTTTTTGTGTGAGAAACTTGATACCTTTTATAAAGTAAGGTATTTACTCAAATGACCATTGAAAGTAAATATCTCGACTGAACAATTTCCTTACATCAGAGAATACATTTTTTATACAACACATTGAGCTTAAAAGGCGAAGCCAAAAAGGGAACAACAATTTTGTTACAATATATGCTACGACTATATACTGTACAATGAAAAGTTACATTTCGATGTTTTAATATTTTCGCCGCCCCCTCCGCTCATTCAGACTATCCTAGACCCGCGTTTGTATAGCATTCTCTATCACATCACGGTTATGGCCAATAACCTCTTCTGAAAGTTGCAATCTTTAGATCCAGGTACCGACACATAATTTCAAATGAATTATCTCACAACAACAAAATGATACATAATTAGGAAACTCTATGTAAATGGGTACACTATATATATTAAATACAGATAACCCGGGCCTTACACGGGTGTTGTTATTATTGAATCGTTTCCAGGAATAGGCAGGTTGCTAAAACTGTAAATGCTATAAGTAATACCTGTGGTACCTATATGCACCTCTTTTGCATTATCAATTCTCTTTTTGTTTTGTCAAAATAGAACAGAGATCTGTGTTACTCCTCACCCCGTCCCCTCCCCTTCCCTCTCTCTGTCTGTCTCTCTCTCTCTCTCTCTCCCTCTCTCCCTCTTTCTCTCTCTCTCTCCCTCTCTCTCTCTCTCTCTTTCTTTCTTTCTTTCTTTCTCTCTCTCTCTCTCTCTCTCTCTCTCTCTCTCTCTCTCTCTCTCTCTCTCTTCGTTTAAGACAGAGATAAACATTAGCCTCGATTGGTTGCTTTCATTATTTACACTAAGATTCATACGAAACAAGGACGTATTAGCATTATATCTGGCACATTTATCTTTGATACAGGTAGCATGATATGAGAACATATTCAATCAAAATGCTATTTTTCCTCATAATCTGAAGATATAAAGATTGATTGATTGATTGATGAAATTGTATACAAATTATATGCAAAAGAGAAGAAATTGCATTAGCATTACATAATACATTTCTTGTTAAAAATTAGGGGAGGGGGGGGGGGAGGTCGTATTTCAACATCCCGTTAATTATCTCGTTAATTAATTAGGTACACGTTTATTCAAATTGTACAAACATTCGGCACAACCATTTAATGCACTCCATGCATTATCTTAGAATTGCTTATACAGGACGTTATCAATTAACCCGTAATCATTGTCATCGCTGGATATGTTACGTGACGTCACGAGCAGGACTTCAGCATCCATGTATGTATGCTGAAGATCTTCCGATGGACTATGTACAGGAGGAACATCCACATAAGTATATTCATCCTCTCCCCCCTCATTGGTCCCCGTATCGCCCACCGCATTCACTCCTGTATATGTATGCGACGATGTAGGGTCCGATGCGTACGTGTTTTCCTTCACACCCAGCGTCTCGTGTGCGAGGAACGGGGTCGGTGCGCTGTCCGCTGATTGGACAGAAGTTACGTTGCCCATGGCGACGGTCGGATGATCGGTAGCAGGTGGATTGCGTAGTTGCTTTCTGCCTTTTCTGTGTACAAAGAGGTATAAGGGGATGATGATGAGGTTTACTTGAGTCATATAGAGATCACTGCGTGTTGGAGTGGAAATTCAAAGCAATATTAGTGGAACAGCCTCTCGAAAAGTATACTACTGTTTCGATTGGTTTCCATTGGAGTGGATTCAACCTCAAAGAAAGTGATCTAATAAATCCCTTTAAAAAAATATATTTTCACTCATTTGCATTTTAAGATAATATTATCCAAGACAACCTCCCAACTCGGAACTCGTTATAACTATACAGAATACCCAGTATGGCTAATGCGAAGCAATGAAGTTTTAAATTTAGCTCTGAATTAATTAGAAGGGTGAGCGTTCCAGCTTAAGTACTTTGTCATTTCTCCCAGGTAAATAAAATGATGGCAATATTTTTTTTGTTTTTAATTGCATGATGAGGAAGTAGAATTTCATCCAGTAATCTATGAAAATATTTCGGAAAATGTCGACTCCTTACCTCCGTGATCTGACGACCACAACCAAAACCACACCCGTGATTAGAAGGACACACACAACACCGATGATGATGTATATGTATACTGCACGTACACCTGTATAAATGAAAAACAATATTTAAAATTCATTATCAATACGTCTTTAGATAAATTCAAGACACGGACACAAAATGATAGGCCTATGTGAAATTGAATAAGGGGTTAAAAATGGATAAAAGGTTAATGGTACTGGAACCAGAATTGGCTTATGCTGTAATGAAAATACTAAATTCATACAACTCATATACTTCTTGCGACTTTGAATACAAACAAAAAAAACCCTCTCGTTTGAGAGTCAAGAGCCTTTACTTATATTTCAAAATTATCCCACAATAAAGCACTCGATAATTTTACCTTTTAAATGTTTACACACAAAACAAAAACACAGTAAAAAACAAAAAAGCAACTACGTAAAAAACACCCCAATATCCCGAATCAACACGTACTTTTCGCGTTTGGTTCATCACTTCCATCTGTCTTCTTTTGCACAGAAGTTGATGTGGTTGATAGATGTAGTTTCGTGATAGCGGTTGTCAGCTCATCATCGGTGTGATCTATAATGAAGACGCAAATCACACTTGATAAAATTCTGCATTCAACGTTTAACTCATTCCCATATCCCGAAAATAGGCTGGCTTCAAATCCTTTTAATCCGTTGCCCCATGCCTATGGTTTAGATTGCCGGCATTTCTGTAAAAAGGTACTTAATTTAACTTCTTTTAAAAAACATCTGAAAACATACCTTTAGAATTATTCTTAATCTTGTGATTGACTATTAAAGAGGACAACGTCTTGCATCCTCTGGAAAAGGCGCCTTATAAATCCAATTATTATTTTGTATTATTGTTACATTTCTTATAAATTATTTTTGTTCAAAATCTAGCATGATTGGTAATATGTTCATCATCATCATCATCATCATCATCATAACGTCATCATCATCATGATCTTATGATAATCATCATTATCTTCATAATCATCATCACCATCATTATCATTACCACCATCTTCTTTATCATCACCTTTACCATCGTCATTATCATCTTATACATCGAATACCTAAGACAAATTTGTTGAGCTGATATTTAGTATGCATTTTCACGTTTCTCTTGATCATGTTGATATTTTAAAATGATCCCACAATGACGCACTTGATATTTTTTCCTTTTAAACGTTTACACACAAAACAAAAATACACAGTAAAAACAAAAAGACAATTTAGTAAAAAAAAAAAAGACACCCCCAATATCCCGAATCAACACGTACTTCTCGTGCTTGGTTCATGATTATCACCTGTCTTCATCTGCACAGTAGTTGATGGGCTTGTCAGCTCATCATCGGTTTGATCTATAATGAAAGACGCAAATCACACCAAATAAAATTCAGGATTCAACGTTTAACTCATTCCCAAATCCCGAAACTAGGCTGGCTTCAAATCCTTTTAATCCGTTGCCCAACGCCAATGGAATAGACTCCCTGTATTTCTGTGAATAAGTACTTCATTTCATTTCTTTTAAAAAAAGTTCTGAGAACTTACCTTCACAATTATTTTAATTTTTTTGATTGACTCAGGAAACAGCGTCTTGGATCCTCTGGAAAAGGCGCCTTATAAATCCAATTATTATTGTTACATTTCTTATAGACACGGAAGTCTGACAAAACATTTGTGTTCAAATCTGGCATGAATGTTAATATGTTCATCATCATCGTCGACATCATCATCATCATCATCTTTATATTATATACATCGAATCCCTAGGGAAAATTTGTTGAGCAGAGATTTAGTATGCATTTTCACATTTCTCTTGATCATGTTGATGCGAAAGTTGTATTGAAGGAGAGATTTGTTCAATGTGAGAAAACATTTGATTAATGGGAGGGAATGGTCCTTTTACGTCATTAAGTAAGAATGAAGAGGTAGAGTATGAGTATTGAACTTACTAGTGCATCTGACTCCCAAGAGCCCCATACAGCAGTCATCTTGTGCATCTGATACACATAAATCCTGTGTAGTTACATTAGTAATGAATTCACATTGATTGAGACGCGTTGCATCTGTATAGAGAATAATATGTTGAATCGTATCATTTGATTTGATTACTTTGATTTATTTTCTTCTGCATTCCCTATAAATGTTTAAAAAATTCAGGAAGAGAACAAACACAAAATACTGAATGAATCATTAATTAGCAAATATATACAATTACCATAGCTAGAAAAAGAAAAGATAAATTGTGAAAGTATCATATTTCATCAGACTTTATACAATTATACACGGAAGAAAGATTACCATTCAAAGGAAAATTTGACAGCCCCCAACAAATCTTATGAAGTAGATGAACAAATTTATTATTAAGCAGAATGGACAAAAAACTGAAAGAATGTGTAAAATATAAGAATAATGAAGGTGATGTTGATGATGATGATGAAATTAATTATGATTGTAATTTTAAAAAATATAATAGGGATGAAAAACTATTATGGCAAAGACTGAAAAGTCGACAAAGTTGGCTTTAAATGAGTAAAGGGAGCAACATGATTAAGTGTATTCTGGGATAGAATTCAATATATCTGGACCATGGTGTCTTATTGGTCTCTGTACAATAAACTGTTTCGGATTTGGATTATAATATATTGTTTATATCTAATTAACGGTTTTAATTTATGTTATATTATTCTAAGTCACTTTACCATGAAAAGGGGGAGAGTTTTTAATTGTAAATCATAATCATAACAATTAAAGAAAATATTATTGAGCCAGATTCGTGGTTCCTGGTTAACTATAGTTTCCTGTAACACTTCTCCCTATTTTTCAATCGTGATCATTTCAATATTTTAGACGCTGATAATGATTCCGTCTGAAACGAGCACAATCATACGGCGTAACAACCAGTGACGTAGCTATATAGGGGTCACGGGGCACGTGCCTCCTCACCAATCGCATGACGAAAACAAGGGGTGAAAAAAAGGCAGAGGAGAGGAGGAACGGGAACTTTTAAAAAGAAAAGAAGATGACACCCACCCCCCCCCCCCCCGCCGCTTCTTCAGAGGCATTGGTAATTCGAAGTTCATCCACCTCTTGCGACCCTTGCCCCTCACTCCACGTGATGTCCTGTACCCCTCAATATTGTTTGACCCACGAAAGTAATTGTGTGCTGTTGTTGTAATCAGCAAATAAAAACGTACAGATGGGAAAGACAAATATAAAAGAGCTGAGAATGAGATTTGCGAGCAAACTAAAATAGAGGTGAATAGATCAAAATATTGCTCCACTTTCATAACATGAATGCTTTAAATCATTATACATACCCTGATTACACTTCACGTATGAATGCAATATAGGTAGCGAACCGACGTCCACAGAGGTATCAGTAGAAGTACTTTCACCCCCATAGTAGCCCAGGTCTGCACAAGCAGCCGATGCCTCCCACAAGAGCCATAGACCGTTGTGACATATATAACCAACGTCCCTTTTTTTCTCTTTAACGATGACCAAGCCTTCCAAAGGATTATTCCCATCCAAATGAATGCCTTCACAGACAAAAACAAACACACAAGCAAAGAAATAAACATGAACAAAAAAAAACAGACAAGCAAACAAATAGAGATTTAAAAAAATAAGCAAACAAAAAAAGATAAAAACTAGATGGAATTTTGACTGCGCGCAGTCGAAAATGATGCCTCCGCTATAGAGCAATTTAAACAAGTTTAGAGTTTAAATCTCCAGTGGTTCTTGAGATATCATGATAACAATCTCAATGTATGGAATTTCATAAGTTGACCTCTGTGACCCTTGACCTTTGACCTACGTGCTCCAAAATCTAATCAGATTGTCTTCCTATGGTGATACACACTATCATTAAGTTTGAAGTTTAAATCTCCAGTGGTTCTTGAGATATTATGATATGGTGATACATACTATCATTAAGTTTGAAGTGAAAATTTTCCAGTGGTTCTTGAGATATCGCGATAACGATCTCAATGTATGGAATTTCATAAGTTGACCTCTGTGACCCTTGACCTTTGACCTACGTGCTCCAAAATCTAATCAGATTGTCTTCCTATGGTGATACACACTATCATTAAGTTTGAAGTTTAAATCTCCAGTGGTTCTTGAGATATTATGATAACAATCTCAATGTATGGAATTTCATAAGTTGACCTCTGTGACCCTTGACCTTTGACCTACGTGCTCCAAAAATGTAATCAGATCGTCTTCCTATGGTGATACATACTATCCTTAAGTTTGAAGTTTTTACATCTCCAGTGGTTCTTGAGATATCATGATAACAATCTCAATGTATGGAATTTCATAAGTTGACCTCTGTGACCCTTGACCTTTGACATACGTGCTCCAAAATCTAATCAGATCGTCTTCCTATGGTGATACATACTATCCTTAAGTTTGAAGTTTAAATCTCAAATGGTTCTTGAGATATCGCGCTAACAAACTCAATACAAGGAATTTCATAAGTTGACCTCTGTGACCTGTGACCTTTGACCTACGTACTCCAAAATCTAATCAGATCGTCTTCCTATGGTGATAAATACTATTCCCGAGTCTTAAGTTTAAATCTTAAATGGTTTTTGAGATATTGTGATAACGGTCAAACGGGACGGACGTACGGACGTACGGACGTACGGACGGACAACCCGAAAACATGATGCCTCCGGCACCACCTTCGGTGGCGGAGGCATAAAAACAGACAATATGGTGCATAATAATAGGTTAGCTGTACGCGTGTTAACATGGAATACATCCAACATTATTTGTTATGATACGGATGCGAGTGTGTGGTGTGCCCGAGAGTCAATGTAGCATATCTACAGTGGCGGACATAAAAATACCAAAGGGGGGGGGGGGGGGGGGGGGGGGTGGGGGGGGGTGTGGGGGGGGGGGGGCCCCCCCCCCCCCCCCCCCCCCCCCCCCCCCCCCCCCCCCCCCCCCCCCCCCCCCCCCCCCCCCCCCCCCCCCCCCCCCCCCCCCCTGCGTACGCGCCTGGTTCCACCTATGAGTTTGGTACCTTCACCAATCCTGCGCAGGGTACGTATTTGGTCCTCTTGACAACATAAACCGTCGCCATCACTAAATACAGAGCCAAGTTTGACTCTGATGTATTCAGCTGTATATTATACGTGCTCTTATATCACCTGTGATTACTTGTTATTACTGAAATGTTTAATTCTTTATTTCTTCAATAAAAGGAATAGGCCTATGCATGTTTGTTGGCTAGAACATCACCAAGTATTGAATCAATTTTACCAAATTTTTGGTGTAATTTACCCGAATGTGTTTAGAGTGTAGGATTGTATTTTTGTACTAAATCCTTCGACATAACATTATATATATACTCACTAGTGCAAATTTGAAGAAAGTCGGTGCAGCAATCACCAAATCCCACGCAAACGGAATTACACTGGCAATTTGTTCGATCGCCATCAAACAATGCACCGCATCTTCCTTCACAAGAATCCCATTCATTTGCTCCTGCACAATATGAAACATCACAATGAAAGTGTAAGAAAATAATATGTATAGATGTTTATTCTTAAACTTTTGCATTCATTTATTGAAATCGTACAGTATTGCATGTTTGTTCTATTTTTCTTGTTTTTTTAAGTTTTCAAACAAATTCACCAGAATTTTAGACAATATATAATCGTTTAATTTCTTTACAATCCTTAATATCCTTGATAATAAGATGCACACGATTCGGCTTTTACTCCAGACTTATTTCATGTGTGTGTACATTTTAGATAAGTCTAATGGGTTTCATAGGGGAGGGTATAGTGCCCCCCCCCCCCACAAAAAGCCACTGTTTTTATTAATACCCTATTAATACAAATAAAAAAGGGGTGATAGACGATGAGAGTAAAGTTACAAAGAAGTCAGTGACTGTATATCATCTGATAAATGAAGACGACATAAATACCTCTTTCATACAAAAAAAAAAACGGGTTGAGATTAATCGTATACATTACCTGCCGTGCAGAAGAAACACAGGGTGAGCTGTAGGCCTACTGTAAGGAATATAACCTTCATGTTGGTACCTGCAATGGTTGGTGGCTGGTTGCCGAATAATTCCAAACAAAATACGTTTAGCACCTTATTAAAACTGAACACAACGCAATCGTTATTCCTTTCACTTTCACTTTGTTTGGTATTTTTGTGCATTTTATTCTTCTTTCGAGAACATACCATGATTATACGGCATTTCCCTTTTATACCACTTTCCTCATACCTCTCTCTCTCTCTCTCTCTCTCACTCTTAAACTCTCTTCCTCATTGCCTCTCCCATACTCACTCTCACCCTCTCTCTCTCTCTCTCTCTCTCTCTCTCTCTCTCTCTCCACGTAGGACCTACATAAAGAAGCATGTCCGTAATATTGCCATAAGGGCGGATATTTCGCCTTCCTGAAAGTATCCGTGTCCCTGATGAAACAGACTCCTTAATATCATGCGTTTGTTTTTTAGAGGGGAAATCAGCTGCAATCCCAGTTTTTTTTGTTTTTTTCTTTAGATACAGACACTGCTAAGGATCAGATAAATATTTAGGTGCTACTTGTACCATTGAACAACCGCCTCAATATACTGTGCATTTCCTGTTATTTTATGTATTTTCTTTATATATGTACTTCAGAGAAATGGTAGTTTTTAGCTCAGTCATCATACTGAGATTTTGCTTTTGCTTTACGTCCTGATATATTTTCGTTTAGGTCAATATTAAAATTAAACAATATGGAAAAGTGACAAGAATGCATTTAAAGATACTATGTCCCATTTGCAGGGCAAAAAAATGAAAAGGTTAAATTCCAACGGCATTTGACAGATAATACTAATTTAGAACTTCCCTGAAAAAAGGTGGACTTGAAAATGGCTTTAAGCGGGAAAATACCGACTATTAGTTGTCGAATTTTCAGACCATTGTACCGAATGGTCGTACGTTTTATGCTGCGCAAAGATTCAATCAGTTTAATTTTGGCCACCAAGTCTAGCAAGTAAACGGGTTTCCTTGCATAATTTGAATATTAGGACACTGCTAACATTTAAATTTAACAGATAGAACACACATGACATATTCATAATTCCAGCAAAGTTCTACAGAATTTGATGTTGGCTGCAAAAGGGACATAGTATCTTTAAATGGGCTCTCATATCGAACATGCCACGCTCCCATTTGCTCTATACCGCTATGAAGTATAAATCAACCTGGAAGAGTGACCTATGCATTGCCCAGAACCTGTAGCGAAATGTCGCCCTCAATAAACTCCACAATATTACAGGAGATATCTTGACCTTGCCGTTTGCTTGTTCTCCAAATGTAACTTTTACTATCAACACCTTGCCCCACCCACTTATTCTCTCTCTCTCTCTCTCTCTCTCTCTCTCTCTCTCTCTCTCTCTCTCATTCTCTTTCTATCTCTCCCCTCTTTCTCTAGTTCCAGCACAGATCTTTCAAAAATATTCTCAGCTCTTGATCATTACGTCCTGCAAAATGTTTGTGAACTGTTTGCAAATTGCCTTTAAAGGTACTATGTCACATTTGCAGCCAACATCAAATTCTGTAGAGCTGTGCAGGTATTATTCAAATTATGCAAGGAAACCTGTTTACTTTCTAGACTTTACTGTCAGACACTATTGAGTGACCGACTGACTTCTTCTTTTTCTTTGGTAAACATGTAAAATGAGCTGTACAGGTACATGAGCATTTGTCTACATCAATAACCCACTTCTTGTAAAGGCCAAAATTAAACTGATTGAATCTTTGCGCAGCACAAAACATACACCATCTGGTACAAGGGTCTGAAAATGAAACTATTACTAAAATGATTGCAATCACTTTAGACGATTCAACAACTAATGCTTGTTATTTTCGCACTAAAAGACATGTTCAAGCCCTTTCGTTTGAGGGAAGTTCTGAACTAGTATTATCTTTATAATGCCGTTGGAATTTAACCTTTTCATTTTCTTGGCCTGCAAATGGGACATAATACCTTTAATATACCTCTTTTCTGCACATTTCAAAGCTGGGACGTATTCATTAAACCTGACGGGTTTGATGTAATAGAATGTGTGTAAAATGTCACTAGAAATCATTTTAAGTACAGTTATCTTCATCAGTTTTTGTTTTATTCAGTACATTGCCAACAATAATTCATAATATTGTGATAATAATGTTCAAAATTCTTATATACATATATAACAATATAGGAGAAAATAACTGTTGATAGTCAAATATTAATACTGCCCTTGTGTCAGCTTCAGGCACTTAGCAAGAATTCTTGTTTAAAAAGAGCTCATTTGTCATTACTTGATTGTCAATATACCAGTAATTCATATGCTGTGTATGCCTTTAATAAGTATTGGGGGTTATATGCAAATGATTAGCACTAGAGACACCATTTAAAGAAAATCGAGTGCAAGCTGTCTTCTAAAGAACTAGATGAAACTTTGACTGCGCACAATCGAAAATGATGCCTCCGACATAAAGCGATTTCACAAACCAAAACAGAACCAATCTTTCAAAATCAAGTTTAATTGTAATCCATTTATAACAGGTTCTCAGAATATTGTGATTACAAGCTCTTTTTCATATATACGTGTATGACCATTTATCTTTGACTTCATGACCCTAAAATCTTATTAGTTCATTGGCTTTGCAAGATACATACATGTCTTGAGTTTGATGGTAATCCGTCCATCACAAGCTATTTTTGCATACATAATGAGCCCTGTGACCTTTGACCTTGTGACCCCAAAATCTAATCAATTCATGAGCTCTGCAAGATACATACACGACCCAAGTATGGCATAAATCCATCAATCGGTTCTTGAGATAACGTGATCACAAGCTATTTTTGCATACATAATGAGCACTGTGACCCTCGACCTTTGACCTCGTGACCCCAAAATCTAATCAATTTATTGGCTCTGCAAGATACATACACGATTTAAGTTTGACAGGAATCCATCAATCAGTTCTTGAGATAACGCGATCACGAGTACAGGATGTACGGGCGTACAGACATACGGACGGACGGACGGACAGACGGACAACCCGAAAACATAATGCCTCGGGATACTTCATAACGGAGGCATAAAAAGGGAAAAATATTTACTGGGGTCTCGTCTGCAAAACACAGTCACTGGTGACCGAACAAAAGATTTATAACCATTACTGTTTTACCAGAAAACCAAAATATAATTGGCAAAGTTGAATGCAAAACTCTTATCTAAATGATCTGTATTCAGTAAGTTGCTCTACAATTGAACACGAAAGCATAGAAATAAGACATTTGAGGTAGTTATGTATTTCATGTAGAATTGTGAATACATTTGCATTAAATCAATAATTGCATACATTTAATATGAACTACATCATGCACATTGCAGCTACAAATTGCACAGTATCAAAAAAGCCCTATGAAAACAATCTATCTATCTATCAAAGTATCTTCTCCGGTTCGGAGGTTGATTGCAACATCTCTCCATTTCACTCTATCTTCTGCCATTCTGGTGCACTCTTGCAGTTTTAGTCCACTCCAGTTCTTGACATTCTCTTCCCAGTTGATTGAAGAAAACAATAAGTTGTTATATACTCCATATACAACATTGATCTAAGATAGGTCAAAATGACCAAAATTAATTATTAGGTTTCTTCAATTAACTTCATTAAACTACAAAGATAAAAGCATAGGTTTGAGTTTATCTGTCCTACTAGACATCTGTCTTCTCTTTTGGAATTCTTTACACTTTTGCCTCACCTGGTATTTTGATGAACAAATCTTAATTGTTGGTTGGCCTTCTTACAGGTGGCTAAGATGTGGAAAGACTACTTGAAGCCATCTGAGATCAGGACACCAAAATATCTTATACTAGTAATACTAGTTTTCCAAACTTTGCTAAAATTTGTTGACAAACTGCTGGGTGTTACTGGTATTTAAGCTTTGAAGATCTGAAGTAAAACAAGTGCTCTTCAGGCATTTACCCAAGTTTGTCTTGATTCAAACCATTCAACATTCTTCTGAAACTATAGTAAAAATTGGAAGGTCTAAGAATACTTAGTTCTTCCACTTTAAGCCTTAAACCACTCAAATCTTCTTCAAGTTTTATCTTACTACTCGAGACCTCTTCTCTAGACTTTATGTCTGATGGACTCTCTACCACATCTCTCCCAAATGAGGGCAATATTACTGATTTAAATTCATGCATTATGTACTTCTCTTTCACATCAGCTTCGTGGTTAGTTCTTGCACTTTCCACGATGACATTAGATTCAATCAAAGCTGATGTCATTTTTGGTACTTTTCGGCCATCTTCAGAAGTCACTGCACTTTCTCGTTTTAAAGCATTCTCCTTAATCTTACTTTTAGACATAGTACCATCTGGCATTGATAATGGTCTGAGGCAACTACATTTGGCTCCCTTGCACATGTCATTAGCAGTTGATGATTTGCATTGTAACAAGGGAATATCTCCACAGTCATATTTACAAGGAAAATCTGTCCTGCTTTCTACAGTGGCTATTTCTTCATTGGCGATATGGCAAGAGGTTTTTGAGCTATCGCATACAGATGCAGGATCTACATTTAACGATGGCTGGCAACTGTTTGAACGTTTATGAAGTGAACTTTCCAGGCACTCGCTTCCATATCCAGTATGTTGCAAATCATTAGTCTTCATTTCCCCACTGTTGTCATCACTCTTCTTTATCAATGAATCATTTGACTCAAGTACCAAAGCAATGTGTTGTTTTCTTACACTCATATTCGCAGGCCTCTCCTGCTTCACAAGTCCATCTTTAGAGATACCTCCTGTTACCTCTAACTCCAAACTACCGTCATTATGATAACTTGAATTCTTTCCTGGCTGATGCATTGCTCTCCTATCACATTGCCTACTGATCTGTGACTGCTTAGCATGCAGGTATCTCTTGCAAGCTACGTTGTATTTCCCCCTCTGTCTCTCGAAAGCAATTGCTTCTCTCTCTGGCCCTACTATCTCCTCTATGTCCATCAGCCCTTGAAAGCTTGCATCATCAAAATGCTTGAAAGGGCATCCTCCTTCCTCACCGTATCCAAGCTGCATCATCTAAAGGCAAAGAGATTAGAAGTTAGAGGGAAATCCAACCTTGATGGCAACTTGCTTTCAATGAAAGCAGAAAAATCTAGAGAACTGATTGATGAATGTTTGAACAAAATTGGATGAACACACACGATAACAAATATGTCTTCTGGCAGTTATGAACACTAGACTAGACATGTAGGGAAATTGACAATGTTATTTTTTAATGCAAATGTAGGATAACCTCCCCACAGGCTTCTACAATAACAAGGGAGACGCTCTCGGCGTTCTCGCCTGCATTACCAATTTGATATTTAGGTTGGGACATTATTTATAGGCAGGGTGGCCCATTAGTAGATCCTTGAAATGAGATCCTTGACTAAGAATCATGAGAAGAATTATTTACTACAATTTGTACCAAGATTAATAACTTTAATGGAATATGAACAAATAACAAAAATTGATTTATTAATTCTCATATTTAGTTGTAAAAACATAATCCTGACCTAAAATAACCTCTGACCTTGACTATGTGACCTGGAATTTGTGTCATATGATTTATGATACTTGATAACCCTTGTGTCCAAGTTTCATGAAATTTTAACTAAAAATACAAATAACAGAAATGAAATAAAAATTCAAAATCTTGATGTTGATGCCACAACAAAGTCTAAGTTTGCAGACCTGAAATGACATTTGACCTTGACTTTGTCAACTAAAAGACTAATCACATGATTGATGATACTTGATAACCCCTGTTCATGTTCAAGTTTCAAGGAATAGAAATGTATATTTTCAAAATTATGATAACAATTCAATATCTTAACTTTTGGTTAAGTTTTTGTTGAAGTGCCACAACATAGTCTAAGTTTGTTGACCTAAATGACCTTGACTTCGTGACCTGAAAGACTGATCACATAATTGGAGATACTTGATAACCCTTTAGTCTAAGTTTCATTGAATAAGACCTTATACTTTCAAAATTATACACCACCAGAAAAGCGGCGCCTATTTCTCGCTTTTTGCTACGCAGGCGAGACAAAAATGACTAAAATAGGTTTCCAAATTCTACTGCTGAGTGGACATACTACAACATGCTATCCAATATATATCCGTAGTACAGCCTCAAGGAAAAAGGTACAAATGGTAAAAATGGAAATCAATTTTAGGCTTACAAAAAAAGAAAAGTTGTTCCTAAAAAACCCTCATGTTCACGACCCATTTGTAAGACTGAGATTCACCTACATTACCATGCAGTGATCTCAGCTCCCAACTTTCATAACTTAATTTACCTAAACATCATGTGTATATTACGACATGAACCTACCTGAATTGATTTGCAGCTGTGAGCCCTATAGTTGGTCCTGGAGCCCTCTAACCCATACAGATGTCTGATGTTGTATGTATACCTTCTCTCATCTTTAGCCCATGAGTGCTGGCATCCTCCAACTCGGTTGTCATGGCAACGAGATGGTTTGGAGTACTCACTCCTCCAGAAGTGAATGGCATCATCAATGGGTAGACCGATGTTCTTTAAGAAGAGTGTATACTGGATCTAAACAATGCAAAGAATGATTGAAACAAAAACATTAATCAACACTGCTTGAAAACCCATTCTTCTATGCGTAAGACTATGTAAGAATTAAACATGTCAGTATTAAAGGTAATACAAAGTTTTGGTATGGGGTCAAGAATTTGGTTCAAATGAACGTATTAATATGCGATTATGCGATCCTACAATATTCAGTGATTGTTGTCGCCGGTTGAAATCGAGTCTAAAGTTATGATATTGTGAATAATAAACTCTTTATGTTGTATAGTTCCCTCTCAAGGTCAAGATATTCATCAAGCTATGTTTTTTGACTAAAATTGACCAATTAGCTATTCTCGTTTGGAAATATATATCACAACTACACATTCTGAGATTTTCATGGTCACAGCTACCATTGTAGGGCATAGTTGCTATTTGAAATTTATTGTTATATTCAATTTTTGTCGAAAGCAGAAGTGTTTTAAGGGCTAAATTTTCTTGTGCTTATAATACATCCACATATATCAAAATTGTAAAGAATCACTTTCCACCCAATTTTCAAAATTTCCCAAAACTTTGTATTACCTTTAAAGGGATCCGGTAACTTTGTCTCAGATTCTGAAATAAAATTCTGGATTTAGCTCATGATGCAATGATAATTATAAACCTTTAGGTCAGTCAGGAACCCCATGACATTTACAAGCCGATCGCCTGTCTGATTATCAAGATATTTATGATTGAAATTACAAATTTTGAAAACCGTTCGCCTGACGGTTTTCATAACACTAAAGTCTATTGGGGAAAACGAGTATGGTAAAACCGGTCACTCAAAGATTTTTACTTTTTTGAGGCACTTCTTGATCATTTTGAAGCGCAATTTTTTTAGGGCTTCAATATTACACCATATCACAGACACTGATAACAAGTAGGGCCGTGTATCTCAGATTTAACATTGTTAAACGATCCCTTTAAGGATTTAACATACCCAAATTTTATGTATTCTAGCTTTACGACCCAACAATCAAATTCACACCAAACTAGAATATAGTCTTGTGATAATTCATCCTAAAGATGGACAATTATGCCATGGAATATAGATTTTGTGTAAACTATGAAAGTTTAGACTAAGGAACCTTGTCTTTTCTTCCTGAAACATCATTACTAAATAAATTCATGTGACTTTGTACTCACATAAAATATTTTATATCAAATCTAAAAATAAAACAGAGAATTTAAGTGTGGTTTCATGAAACACAAAAAGAGAGGATAACCTGGCCTCACCTCTCTTGAAATTCACATCAAATGTGTAACCAAAAGTGCAAATTCATAAAGGAGGTTTAATTAAAACTTGGTCTAAAGGATGGTTCAAACCTCCACCATGGCCTGAAATAAGCATTTTCAAATGTATAAACAAAATATATTGTCTGTTCATTAGATAGGAGGTCACACACAATCATGATTGTGGATGTTTAAGTCATGGATTACAATAAACCACCTTTGTGAATCAGGCAATGGACTGAAAGCACTGAACATACCCTAGAGAAGTGCCTCAGCCGATGCTTCTTCCTTAGTGTGCGATGAAGATGGCTCATACATGGTGGAAAGAAGCGATGAAGATGATCTATCTCATATTCTCTGATGACCTTCCCATCTCCTGCATTAAGAAACAAAGAGGAAGCAACGTTGAAAAGAATTTCTAAAAGTCATCACTGCAACTGATCTAAGGCAATATCACTTGATAGAAATACAATCAGAATTAGAAAGAAGTATTACTGTACAACGGTGAAGTGTCTATTTTTAGTCTAACATCTATTAAAGTCCAAAGTCTACCTATTTTCCAGGCTATTTTACAATAAAAAACTGAAATGCTTGCAGCCTGGAAATTAGGAAAATATATCAAACTGTAAATTTGATAGTTTTTAGAATTTTTAGGGCTATATTGTCTGATATGAAATTCTTGTATCCTAATACCATAGTCACATCACCTTACCAAAAATAAACTGACTCCACACCAACCCCAAGCTGACTGATTCTTTGCTACAGGTATACAGGGTCATGTTACATTTTGTTTGGTCTTTTGTCAGTCTTTTTTGTGACTGAGGTACAAAAATGTCATTACCTTGAACAGAGATGGTCTTGCTCCCAGATCCTGCTTGAGCTCTTAGGAAAGCTGCATGGACCTCTCTTGAGATACTCCTCATTCTGGAATCCTCCAAGACATGCTGAGGAACGTAACGCGCAACCCTGATACCCTCCTGAAGAATATCCTCAAACATGGCTGCAAGTACGACGTGGAGGTTTGAGAACGACACATAGGCCATGCCTCTATCTAACATGACCTGACGTGAGGACACCAAACACAAGGCATGTTGAAAGGGAACAGCAAACACGCAGCAGGAGTAGTCCATGTACAGCTTCACTGCCAGCTTCCAGGATCCTGCAGTCTCAAGGATCAGGTTCAAGACATGTAGGAGATTACTCACAGCAGTGGAGTATGCCTCACGAGACCTTGAGATGGAGGACAGGACGACTGGCCTTGGACGAGATCCTTGGGAAGTGGAGGCAGAGTTCAGTTCTTGGAGTTTTTGATGTCTTTGAAGTCTACATAGGAAGCGATGGGTGGCTTTTAAGAACTTGACAAGTTCTTCAGAGTTCATACAGGAAAACCTGTGACAGAAGAGTTCCGTCTCAGCCTTCAACATGTAAGAGGAGAGCTCTGCATCAGAACTGTACACGAGGCTATCAGGAACAAAACACACAATTACATAATTATGAATTCAAGTGAGGCTTTTGTATTTGGTGTTTGGTATCTGACATGTTGATCATACATGATCATGCATTACATTCCAGTTCAAAGATATAACTCATTTCATTTGAATTATATTTGATTTTGGAATGCTTCCTGAAATATTAATACAATTGTAAAACAAACTGGCACCTGAAATAAATAAGACCTTTGTAACAACAAGATTCATTAGTTCTATGACCAGAGGTGTTCCGTTGGTTGGGTCTACCATCTTATCGGGTCAATGAAATGTGACTTAACAAGGTCATTGATTGAGGAAGGTGTGTGATCGGGTCTAATCATTTATTTTATTCTTCTTCTTGGTATGATAGTATCAAGTACTTGTAATCGTTTCTTCATGCAACAATGACATAAAAAGTAGCCTTCATTTTTACAACATCTAGTCCATAAGCCTAAGGATGTTTTAACTTACCGTAATAGAAAGTGTGAAATCCTGTCTTTCCTAGACCCTTCTATGAGACAATCAGAGTGTACAGCAGTCGTACCCTTCTCCAAGAGTACCTGAAAGTCAGTTGCTTCAGCACATTTTAACACCTCAATAAGGAAGTTCATCCGTCTCAAGGCGTAAACCCTCAGCTTCTCAAGGGCTCCAAACCCCTCTGGTGGCTTGATATAAAAGGCCATCTTTGTCAAGGCAAGCACAAAGATCTATCATCTCTCCTTGAGTTTGAGGTCGGTCATCATCTCTATGATCTGTCCCTCTGTTGAATCAATGTATAATATATCTTAGATTGAAGGTGAGAATGTTGAAAATATCAAGGAGAAATCTAGATCAAAGGCAAATTGAAGGAAGACGACGTCATCCATTGATAGTAACAGTTTAAAATACACTGAGCTGCAAGAATTTCAACACAGAGTTCAAAATCCAAAAAAAGACCCATAAACGCATCATACAGTAAATCTGGTGTAAGTCGAACCGATGATCATTAGCCTAGGCCTAATTTTCGAGAATTAATGCATTGGATATGAGCTAGACCGAATTTTCCGTCTCTTTCGTTCGTTAGCCTCTTATTGGGGTAGGGTCGGCTCTCTCTTTAGAGACGGAAGCCGTTTATACACATGTCCTTGCTAACGCCACGGCCAGTTCTGGTCGTAGCGTTTTGCCCCCAAAATCCCCCAAAATGTCATTTTACCTCGAGCATGTTATATTGTAAATTAGGCCTAGGCTATAATAAATCAGTTCCACTTACCAACTTGACTGAAATAATCAGTTTAATAGTCCCTTTTTAGGAAATTATGGGTCAAAATCGAAATCCATTTTGAAAATCTTTTTCAACATGGATTCCGATTTTGACCCATAATTTCCTAAAAAGGGACTATTTAAACTGATTATTTCAGTCAAGTTGGTAAGTGGAACTGATTTATTATAGCCTAGGCCTAATTTACAATATAACATGCTCGAGGTAAAATGACATTTTGGGGGATTTTGGGGGCAAAACGCTACGACCAGAACTGGCCGTGGCGTTAGCAAGGACATGTGTATAAACGGCTTCCGTCTCTAAAGAGAGAGCCGACCCTACCCCAATAAGAGGCTAACGAACGAAAGAGACGGAAAATTCGGTCTAGATATGAGCCTGCTAAATTAAAATTACATTTTTAGTCCAAATTTGGTGGCTAGTTTGTGGTGGCTCGATGAAGCCAATAAAGTTTGCACAGCAGACCCTATGTCTCTAAGACTAAGTCTAAAGAGAGGAGCCGACCCTACCCAAATCAGAGGCTAACGAACGAAAGAGACAGAAAAATTCGGTCTAGCAGCTGCCAAGTTCAAATTTGACGCCAACCCACCAATCTAAGACTAAGTAAGTAAACGCAAGGTCGCCGCGCCGCCAGACCAGTGTGGCAGTTGCGAAGGAGCAGAGTCGCCCCGCGGCCGCGGCGGAACTGCACAGAGATGTTCCCTCGTGTTGGCCATGGCATCGTCAATTCATGGGATTTTATCATTACCAATATAATCACTACTACAGTCTCACAAAATCACAAAATACGGTACCTGCCTTGTCCTTGAAAAAGTAGCTTGTCTTTGATAACTTGGCTTGATGCAAAAGAATGAATGATGACCTTGACTTGAAGCTTGACGTGATTTTGATTTGCCAGCCCAGACTCTTGATCTTGTTTACACTTACATGTTACGATTGGCGTAAAAATGGACAGTCTCATGAATAATAAGTACCATACCAGAGCGGATGAGTGAATATTCATGAGTTGCTCTGCTGAGTCTTCCGATAGTCGACGGTCGAAAGTAGATAGGGGATCGCTCCCTGGCCTGGTTTGATCAAGGTGAAAACAAATGAAAACAAACAAACAAATCAACAAAAAATACACACACTATTTAAGAAAATGCGATAAAATTATCAATAATTCATTGAATTCCCCCCCGGTCCCCAACAGAAAAAAATCTTCTGTGTGCCTTGAGCGATAATGCATGGCCGTACAGATGATTTTGTTATGCCGGGGGGGGGGGGGGGGGGGGGGGGGGGGGGGCTTCAATGGATTATTGATAATTTATTGCATCTTTTTTATTTTTATTTTTTTATTTGTGGGAACTGCCCCCTACCCTACCCCCGCTGCTTAGTACAGTCATGGTTCAGTGGCCAAGCAATGGCCTCGTAACTGTGCATGAGAGGCCCCAGGATAAAAACCGTATGATAATATGTGCCATATTAGTTCCCTTTTGTGGGGCATTAATCCTCATTACTGTCATTTATGACTTAAGGGCGTAGGTTCCCTAGTTGATAAGCATAGTAGCATACATATTTTAGCAGTCACACAAAACAAACACTGGCAAATCAAATCTGAGAATCTATTATCCAGGCACGTAGCCAGAGTTTGAATGGGGGAGCACATACATCTAATCGAATCCCGGACAACTCGCCACAAAGACAACCCGCCCCAAGACAACCCGCCACAATACCCTGGACATCCCGCCACAATACCCTGGACAACCCGCCACAATACCCTGGACAACTCGCCACAGCCTTTTCGGACAACTCGCCACACTTTTTTCCCCTCATGATTTCTAGATCTAAAATCCCTCATCTTAGATGAAATTGTCATTTTTCATGATTTTCGTGCTTTTACAAACCCAGTTATGACAGGAAACATGGAAATTGTGAGTATTTTGAGAGCTGTTCTAAAGAATAAAGATGATTTTCCTTGCGCTTGCAACAAGAATCTATTTTGGACGAACCCAAGCCAGGCGTACTACGACTACGAGTTACGACTACGATTTTTAAGTTCATGTCTCAGGAAACTTTTTAATGGTAGGAATATGCTGCTATGTATCTTTGGCGTATCTTTACATTCTAATATTACCTGCCCCCCCCCCCCCCCCCCCATCAGTACGCCAGTGCTTCCAGTATCCTACCATAAAAAAATTCTGGGACAGAAAAATGCAGCTGTTATAGACCTCTAGATCAAAAGTATATTATTGTTACAAGGGAAATCAACTTTATTCTTTTTAATGACTGTTTATAAAAGCACGAAAATCATGAAAAATGACAATTTCATTTCAATATATATTATTGTTACAATTAGGGAAATCAACTTTATTCTTTATTCTTTGTAATGACTGTGTTTATAAAAGCACGAAAATCATGAAAAATGACAATTTCATTTCATTTTAGATCTAGAAATCATGATGGGAAAAAGTGTGGCGAGTTGTCCGAAAAGGCTGTGGCGAGTTGTCCAGGGTATTGTGGCGGGTTGTCCAGGGTATTGTGGCGGGATGTCCAGGGTATTGTGGCGGGTTGTCTTGGGGCGGGTTGTCTTTGTGGCGAGTTGTCTGGACCTCTAGGTGAAACAAATGGGTAAAAAAAAGTTCAACCGATCTTGGAAATTCCAACTGCATTTGAAAGATAATGCTAATTTAGAACTTCCCTAAAAAAGGTGGGGCTTGAAAATGTCTTCCCGTGGGAAAATAACGACTATTAGTTGTCAAATCGACTTTAGGGCTATAGAGCCCAAAAGTAATAGTCTTGATTTTCAGACAATTGTACCGAATGGTCATACGTTTTATGCTGCGCAAAGATACAATCTGTTTAATCACAAGAAGTGGGTTATTGATGTAGAAAAATGCTCATGTACCCTTTACAATTCTTTTCATGTATGTTATTACCAAAGAAGAAAAAAAAGCCAGCCGATCAGTCACTCAATAGAGTCTGACAGTAAAGTCTAGAAAGTAAACGGGTTTCCTTGCATAATATGAATATGAGGACGGCTAACGTTTAAATTTCACAGATAGGACATACATGACATATTCATAATTCCTGCAAAGTTCGACAGAATTTGAGGTTGGCTGCAAAACGGACATAGTACCTTTAAATCATGTTGCCTCTACTCATTTATTTAGGGCCAAAGTTAAAACGATGTTAATTATCACTGAGCATCAGAATATTAAGGTAAAATTTCAACTCTTCAATCTGTATCAAAAGATCATCTCATCATCATCATCATCATCATCATCATCATAATTATCATCATCATCATCATCATCATCACCATCATCATCATCATCATCATCATCATCATCATCATCATTATCATCCTCAGTATCATCCTCATCTAGATTGTCAATATCAAATCATCCCTATAACTTGTATTTCAATTACTAATCCATTCTGGGCGCTAGTGTAGCCTGCTTAAATGTGTTAATCTAGTTCATGAGTTTGTCTGGAGCGTTTTGACGGAAATGAATATTCATCTAAGTTGATGTTTGTTTTATACTTATTATTCATGAGTTTGTCAATTTTTACGCTCATGTACTTTGTAAATGGTTGTGGGCGGTGCATGCAGACGAGATCAACTCTTTCGGTAAGTTTTCTGATTTGATTTAAAAGGAGAAAGATCATTTCAATAAATGAATTGCTTGTCATGAATATGATCATTGTAAAGTGCAAAGACCTTGACATTGTATATAGTTGGGACATCATTGCTGTTTGCAAGTTAACAACTTTATTTTAAGTGTTGTAAATACCTGACTGTGTGGCTGCAGGCTGCAGTGCTGTAGTCGGTCCCTGACATGGCAATCGATGTGTGCGGGTTTACCTGCTGTAGTCCTACCACCGTGGCCCTGCTCCCCTGGCCGTCGGCCTTGGCGAATTGAGCTGACCGTACGTGGCCAGCTGCGGTCTCGTCCGTCCAAGTCGAAGTAGACCTTGTTCAAGTGGCCTACATTAAAAATTCTGTATCTTGGTCTGCCTATCATGGCCATAGATCTAGACATAGACTCGAGACCTAGTCCACACTAAAGTTAGACAGAAACATTTGTTGGCTTGCCTTTGGCTTTGCCTTGGGCTTGGCTTTAGCCTTTAGTTTGACTCTTTTGACTTTTGAGGATTTAAAACCCTAAGTAAAACATCTTTTGACTTAAGAAGTTAAGTTTAGTTTGGATGCTGTACAAGCTACACCAGTTCTAAATCTAAATCCAGATTAAGATGAAGACAAGTCCAAGACTAAGAGGGTAAAGCTCGCTAGTAAGTATCCATAACTAGTAAGATGATGAGGACCGGCCGCTAATCCATAAGGACCATTACACGGAGAACTTTGCGGATTGAGCGAATTTAAGTGAGAAAGGGCCTACTTAACATAAGTGCAACTTAAGTTCAATGGCAAAATCAATATGTAATAGTACGTCACACCACAGATTTTGACACGTCCTGCTTTAAACAGGTGACGCACTTCATACATATAACTGACGCACACACAGCATTGCAAACACATAAAATAGAAAAATCAACGAACATCTCAGAATATATCTCCAGTTTGTACCTTAAATATGACGAAAATGAGAACTTAAAAAATAGTTAGGTTAATTAAACTTAAGTGAAATACTTAAGTGAATACATCATAATTTTGGTATAAAAAACCCCCCTGAAAATCGCAAGCTTGCTCCTCGCACAAAACAGCGATAGCCAATCTGAAGGGCCCATGTCGGCTAGGCTAGGCGCCAACTTATGAAAATGAGGCTGAGATCGGATGAACGATCTGCACATGCGCTAATTGTAAGCTAAAGTTCTCTGTGCATTAATATATGAGGACCGCTATCCGGCCATAACGCATAACTAAATGAATAGCGGTCTGTTAAAAATATTGGTTCTTATAAATCGCGAGCAGACCCCGTCCGAGATGCTAGACAAAGCTCCAGTGAAGGCAAACATCTCGGCAGAATATAGATCTAGATTTACAATTACATATAAATCCCACATGAAATCAATGGACCTAGACTGATATTTTGGTCTACACTATTACTAATAAATAGAAGTCTTACCTGTGGGCTGTAATATTCTTCTAGACAACTGACTTTTTCAATGCTCACAGTCTGACACAGACACATTTGTTTTATTCCTTGTGTTTTTGAGAAATTTAAAGAACTACAGGTGTAACAGTTAACAGTTAGATCATGTAGATTTAGATTTGTTACCATGGCATGGTCATGAAGAAAAGCAACCGAGAAGAGCCATCTAACTTTAGGCCTACTGTTATTAAAGACAACTAATTTTAACAACTCATTTCATTAAGCAATTAAAAATATAAAAGGAATTTTAAATTTTTGTACCGGTATGTTAGTTAACCATTGTATAAGTTAGTCTTACTGGATTCCAACGTTAGTTTGATCAATAGTACTATATTTTTATTTTTGATGCATTTTATAAATCAATAATCATCCAGTTTCATCTAAAGTCCAGGCCTTAAATTTCAATATTTTTAGGGCAAGGCCACTTTTCTGTGGGGCACATTCCTATATTACAGCACAAATAGGAAGAATTGGAAAGGGCACAAAAAATCTCCAAGGCCAATGAGAGGGGCATTGAGGCCAATCAAAGGGGCATCCACGGCCATGGCCTTGGTGGTCTTGGATTAATTTAAGCCCTGAAAGTCTACTTACCAGTACATCTACATTTTGTTAAGAAAGAAGGGGTTTTTAAGCAAAAGGAGAATAAGAATGCTTTGAGCTTTATTGACTCTTTCTATGCCACAAAGTTTGTAATTGTCATCAAAAAACTTTTATGTGATGTACTTTGACTGTTTCTGTTTGTTTCATACTTACATGTATAGTGTAGTTGTATTTTAGGAAGAAAAGAGTAACCATTCGTTACCTAAACACATTGTGTAATTCTAGATCTAGAGCCTATGCAAATCCTATATTGAATGAGCGCTAATATGACATAAACAACCTATTGTAATGTAAATCTTAATTTATGAGAATAGTGATAATCACACAGCATTGTTTTAAAGTTAATCTTGAGTTGTGATAACATGAAATACATAATTCACATATTCAAACCAGACTTACACTGACTGTTCAGTTTGATCAAATTTGCAAAACAATTTTCGTAAAACTGTAAAATTGCTCAGTAATGAGCAAATGAATATTACAAGAAAGAAGAGCTGATAGACCTGACCATATGTTGATCAGTGATTCAGTGGAACTAATGGTTTTATTTGATGTGATTCCCAGCATATTTTTAAAAAAACATTTATTTGTGCTGATCCAAACCATCGATTTACTGCATAATGAACAATTTAAGCAAGTTTTTTTCAGAACTCATTTCCATCTCCTGAACTTAAGATTACATGTAGTATTGAGTTTATTATGCCTTCCTGAGATGAAATGCAAACCAAATCATGCAAGTAAACAATTATTAAGTTTAGGCTTAACCTTGTTTTGAGTCAATGTTTGTTTTTACATGTACAATGTACATTGTGCCCATGTAACATCTGTACACTCTAAAAAGGTAAAATGGACATATTGTCAACATCTGAGGCTCTTTCAAGGTTAATGCAAATAATTCTGACATAATTTTTCATATGAAATGAAAGTACAAAGAACTATTCCCTGTTGATTGCGCAGTGTATTTTAGAAATGTGGACAGATGGTATGATGTCCTACATTTCAAGGGATGAAAGGAGAACCTGCGTTTAACCCCAAGTTTATGGAACATCACAGTAGATTAGGAAATTTCTTGATGTTATCTGTTTTGAGTTACAAGGGCTGTAACTCAGCATTTTCCAGAGGTCAATGTCCTTCTGGTTCCAAATAGACAATATGTTCTGATGGCATGGCGTTTGGCTTAGTGATTGTGGTCATAAGCGAAATTTGAAATCGTGTAAACATGTATCGTGTAAGATTATATGATTTCTCAATTCAGGTCGATGGATATATCATGTAATCGGCCTTTGCATGAACAAGTGAGGCATCAATCGCGAAGTTCATGACAATGACACTGTTTTCAATAGGCACAGCCCATAATGAAATTCGCAATAAACCATAATCATGTCGGTAATTAAATGTTTTGATTGAAGTTTTTAATAAAAGCTCGTCATTGTTCTCAACTCCCCTGCCCCAAAGAGAAACTAAGCACACAAAAGGCTGAATCACTGTCTGTCGGTCAGTTGAATTTGGTCCTCCAGTCTTCAATCATGTATGTAAATCTACACGATTACACGATTACATGGTTACATGTTTGTTGCAGCTGGTCGAATCATCCCACTAAATTACAAGATTACACGATTCAGAGCGACAGTCTTCAATCGTGTAAATCTACACGATTACATGGTTTCATGATTAAGGTGAAGAGCGTGTTATCAAAAAAACATTTTGTAATCCTGTTGCGGAGATTTTCAGCGTGTACTGTCTATGTATTAGAGTGTATGTAATTAGAAGATGAACTGAATAGATGAGGTCAGAGTTTGTAGAGGTCAATTTACATCGAAAACAACTTTTAAAAAAACCTCTTGTTTAAGCAATTGGCCAGTATTCATAAATATGTTTTAACTATAGTCCAAGTTTAAACCTGGACTAGTCACTATAGTATGTACATGTACACTGTTTTATGGTTATTTCAAGTGTCAACCTCTTCATCCTATGAAAAAAGGGAGATGCAGAAACTGCATACATGGAATTTGGAAACATGATGTCCATTGTTGTTTCTATACATGTACATGTACATGTATATAGACTTTTCAATTTCATTTTGAATCAGGAATTGAGTGGTATGATTAATGCAACCTTTGATTTCCACACACAAGATCTAGATCAGCCCAGTTTCTACTCTCTATTCTCAAGCAGATTTACCCTCCCTACCATTCATTGATCAAAAACTCTTTATGAAAAACTTCTCAACACCGAGATTGACTAACAATTAACTTTTAAGTGTCGGTTCCTGAGTTTTTCAAGATTCAAGATTCAAGATTCAAAAAGAGTTTATTCATCAAATGATTAGCAGTCAAAGGCTGAATTGCACATTTGTTACATTTGTTACATTTAAAGATATACAAAATAAAATATTAAAAATAGATACATACAAACAAAATTACAAAGTGCACGTTACAAACCAATAGTAAATGTTAAAAGTTTAAAAAGTGATGAGCGGCAGTGGGCATTCTCGTGGTGATGGGCACACATGTCCAGGAGGTGGGCCCCTTCCCCTTCAAAAAAATAATTAATCAAACGACCCCTCCCCCCAATAACTATAACTAGATCCGATTGCTGAAAGCTATACAAAAAGGGGATTTTGCAAACTTCGCAAAACACCAACAAACAAAAAATACACACTCAAGGACCCATTGACACACACCCAAAGACGAAGACACAAACCGCACATGCAGCACTCAAGCACATACAAATCAGATAACTATATGATGAAAGAACATCTATATATAAAAAAGCTTCACAATTCTTGCACTTTTTCTATTTCAAGAAGAAAGCATGATCTAAATCACAAATCAACCTGCATGTACCTGGTAAATGAGCTATGAGAGTGCAAATGGTCTGATAAAAAAGACAACATTTCAATAGAGACCATACCATTTCTTCAATAATCATGTCAGTAAGGTTGTGATTACATGTAATTGACCTGCATGTACCATATTGAATTGTCATTTTATTTTACATGCAGGTCATAAACCATATTCTGCCTCATGAGGTATATGTCTCAATCACCTCGAGATTGCCAAATAGCCTGCTATTTCTGATTTGGGAAATGATCCAGAAGTTACAAATCGCGTCTTCATCAGCTCGAGATTCGACCTCGAAACTCGAAACTCAAGCTTGAAAAATTAGCTTGAGATATTTTGCTCAGCATTTACGCTAGTGCAAATCTTCGGGCTGGTGAAGATGCACCGGACAAATAATGGGATATTTTGATAAATAGCGGGATATTTTGCAAACTAGCCCAAGATATCTTGGGATGATTATCTCGACCAAATATCTCAATAATTGCAATTTTGGGCTGATGAAGACGCAAATTAACTGGATAATTTGCGATCAGGATAGTTGAAATAGCGGGATATTTGGCAATCTGGAGCCTGATGAAGACAGGCCTATGGTTCATCATGCCTTGATCTCTAGCTTACATGTAGGCTAATCACTGAATTAGCAGCACTGTACACCACACGTGTAGTTACTAAATGCTGGTAGTACTAATGAACATGAAGGAAATGTTTGATGTCGTTGGCAAGAATTCAGGGTCAAAAAGCCAGCGTGTTATTTCCTGTGCAATATAGTCATGGGATTCAAGTAATGCCAGCCATACACATGATCACAAAAAATTAAGATGTAATTTGTGGTTTTATGATTCATCCTTTGATCTATTGTCTTTTTCACCATATAGATTGTTGCTCCCAGCATGTTGAAGCAAGATCCTGTCATGCAAAGCTCAGACATTTCTCAGAGGCCATAGCTGAAATAACCAACCATGAGCTGCTTGTGCTGCTGTTTCAGGCCTCCAAATGAGGAGGAACCGAATTCACTCGTGAAGAAGAACGATTCCCCAGCAGCAAGTCCCAGGAAATCTTATGGTGCTATTACTATTCAAGAAGAGACGCCTGCTACAAAACCAGCCTCGCCTCCCGGAAAATCACCTTCTGAACTTTTGTACACTAAACCACCACAGTCAGCCCGTGTGAAATCGCCAGAGACCATAAAAGATGGAGAGACATCAAGCTCCAAGACGTCTCCGGATAAGAGGACATTGGCAGAGATTGCAGAAACAGCCCAAAGAGTCACTAGTGCCTTCCCAGCTCAAAAGAAAACTAGAACTTCCACTCCAAGCCCGACAGTGGACAATCACAAACATGTGACAGCAGAGGACTATGAGGAACGAGGAGTGGACGTTCCGTTGATTCCACCTGGAGGTGAGACGTCTGCTTATGGTAGTAATGAATCAATGGAATCTGACACATGTCACTCATTAGGCGAGGAGGAAAGTGAGGATGCAAGGATACTACGGATGATGCCCAGTGTATCAGCAGCCCCATCATCCACTGGGTCTGGAGGAGGATCGCAGACTCACCTGGTGCCATCATCCCCAGGATCATCAACTCAAGATCTCTCAACCGGAAAGAAAAAAACCAAGGCAAAGGACTTCATGAAAAAAGCAGGAAAGAATATGAAGAAGGCCAAGAAGAAAGTTGGTAAAGGGATGGAGAAGATGATCCATAGTAAGAAGAAGGAAGAGGAGACAAAAGGCCATGGTGATACCAAAGAAAGAGCTGATTCATCAAGTCCCAGTAAGTAGGCTAAAAACCTCATGCAACTTTACATGTTTGTCATTTGACATTGGTTTCATTTCTGTGGATTGTCCCTTTGGTCAGTTTTTTTGCTTTTATTTTTAATCTTTTGTTCAGCTATTTCAAGATACTAAGTCACTTCTTGGATAGGAGCTGCGCATGGGCAGATACAGGTCAATTGTACAAACCTGCAAAACCCCATTGAGACGACTGCTTGATACATGATCTTATAAATTATGTAATAATTATTCATTTATGCACTGGTAGTACATTCTATGATGCAAAGGCATAAGTATTCTTTACTAGAGGGCAAAAAAACACAGTACCGGTATTCATGAAGCACCTGTCTCCATCACTTTGGCAGTGATTCTAAAACTTAAAGAGGGATGTCTTAATGTGTAAAAGATCTGTGCATATTTGGGGGTTATTTGCACAAGTGCTATCTCTGAAGTGGCATGAAAATAGCTTTAAAAATGGACTACAACAACTTCAAATGAGAGAATTATCCTAGGTATGAGAGATTTAGGTCTTAGAATACTCGAAATTTTCAAATTTTGGTAATTTGGGAGGCAGATTTCAAACAAACAAAATCATCAGATTTCCCTTCCAATCTGCCGATCTGATACCGATATCAGGAGCCGAACCCCCAATTCGATCATAGCTCTAACTTACAGGGTTACTGTGCTGCTGCTGTACCGTTCGACCATGCGATCGAACAAGTGCGCATCTGCAGAAAATGCCCTAATGAATAAAACCATGTGTGTGAAAAGCCGAAATGTTAGTCCAGGGCTAAGGCTAGTTCGGGGCTAAACAAAACAAGTGTGAACAGAGTTGTAAGTAGGATATCTTGAGAAACATGCCACAAAGTGGAAAGGCCTCAGCCAGCAGCTGTATTATAATACACCCTTTTACGGTTAAGGACGCCATTTTAATATGCGTGTAAACATTGCGTCATCAATGTTTTCAAATGCACATGCATTGTTGCGTCATTGCCTGCGCTGTACGCCCCCATCATATTTGTATGGGCGCTATCTTAAACCACTGACACTGGCGTAAATCACTGACCTCTAGAGGTCAGTGGTTTGTTTACTCGTAAATTAAAATGGCGCCAATGTCTCCGCATGCGTACTTTTATTATTATTGTCTCTGGAATCGGTGGAATGAGGTTCTAGGATGTAGTGTACATGATTGTATCATTCAAAGACTTTAACACAAACACCTCCAGTTGGGCATTTTTTTTCTTTCTGAAATCAAAACTAAACAAATGTCAAGCATATCTGAATGTAACCATTAACAAGTAGTAGCCTATTAAAAGGGTACATCTGTTTCCTCTGCAAGCTGTATGCCAGATACAAATCATGCAGGAAGAGTCTGGTGTTTAACAAACTGACTCTATGCTGATCCCTGTCTTTAATATCTAAATGGTAGCCTTGTTTATTGATATCGCTTTCAATGATATACCTAGCTCATTCTTAGCAAGACAGCAGCTGTACATGTACTTTTTCTCAGAAAACGGTCAGTCGAGTGGAAGGATGTACTTTCTTGAGCTAGCTGCATGTGCAGTGGAAATGTGTTTTTGATTAACTACTGTTAAGCTTTAATGGCCTTGATTTGTCAAAAAATAAAAACTTAATTTAGATGTAGTGGAAAACAGTTTTGACATATTTTTACTGTTTTCATTCAAAAGTGTTGAAAGGTTTCATTTTTGTCCTTAAAGGCTACAATGTAAGTCCATTCCAAAATAATTTGCTCTTAATAGATGCAGAAAAACAAGAGAAACAGAGCAAACAAAAGTTGAGTAAAATTGGATAACTCATAAGGAAACTATAATCGTTAATTTTTGTTTTAAACTTTGTGCTCCTCATATTGTAAAGGCCCCTTATCCTCAGGTAGTTTCTAGGATTAGTTAAATTTACTCTGTATGTCCATACTGTATGTACTCATCTGAAACGAGAGGAAGTTTGTGGAATTTATGCAGGGTCCCTTTCTTCCTGCTACCATAATTAAGATATACATTACACACAGAGTAAACACTTATAGTTCCATAAAAAGGTTAACTACTATGGAAGTTAAAGCATGGTTGTACCAATTTCACAATATTACTATTTATAGGACTACAAATGTGCATGTAGTACCAGTAATCATAGCATTGATTAAAATGAGATGCTATCAAAATTCTCCAAATATTCATGTAAGTGTATTTGGTACCTATTTTTAAATGAATTCCGGTACATGTCTATTACATACATGTACAATGTGCATGTATCTCAAACTTTAAATTGTACCAGTTACCTAAAGAAGAAAAAATTATATCTATAGGTTGAATGTATAAAATGACCTACAACAAACTTTACCTGGCGTTAAAGCGGTGAAGGAGTATGAAGAAAATAGAGAATACAGGTAAAACCTTGCGTAGAATGGACAGAATGCGATTCGGACTTGGGTTGCATGCACTCCCTATTCTAAGCGAGTGTGTAAGTGCACGTTTAGTACTCAACCAGTCATTTTACAGTTCACAGGGAATGTATTTAAACTGCAAAGTAATTTATTTTGAAGCTCATAGTTTGACTACAGTATAGCAACATGGAACCCCTTACATCAAGAGCAAAACATGTTTTGGTGATTGGTACATTTTTAACCTTGTTGAAAGAATTGTGGTGACCGTGGTGTGGAGTTATCTTGTGAATTGCTTCCTATAGTTCTTCAGTTACTGGTGCAGTATATTATTTTAGATAAATTAAGTTCATTAATTAATATGTACCACTCATTGAAATGCTTTGCTTTTGATGTACAGGTTTCCATGTTGCTCTACTGCATATGAAAGATAAGCTTCAAATATAAATTATTCTAACTTTCAATCATACACTGTACAGGCCCCCTTACCACCCTAGATATAATTATTGCACATGTTGCACAAAACCCGCATATAAGACTATTCTATAACCAAGAAAATGGACATTTATGAAGTTTGTACAATGCAGGTACAGGTACGTTTAAATTGGGCAGAACCTCAGAAGATGTATCAGAGTTGCCAATTCATGTTTCATTGTTTAACTTTAAAAATTCATATCTTTCTTATCTTTACAAATAGGGTCTTCAATAGTCATTTGACCTTTTGGTTTTTTCTCTATTTTTTGTGCTTTAGTGAGAACTAACTCAATATCACGATGGACTTGCCCTCTATTCTTGGTGGTCCCTGATCAGAACACCTTTTTTATGGTTTCTCACAAAAACAGTCTCACTGCAAGAAATAACAAGGGCATTTGGCAATACATGTACACAATTGTACATGTAGTTTCCAGCCTTCTAAGTTCTTACCTACAGATTGGTAATCAGTATACCAGTAGATATATTTAGGGCAGTCGTAAAGTTATATCAAAGTACCCAGGGTATTAACTTATGATCGCACAGGACCAGGACGCTCTTCAAAAAGGCAATCTAGCTGTTAACAGTATTAATTACATTATAAATGTACATTTGGCGACTGGAATTTTCTTAAATTTTCTTAAATAGGCCTTATTACATATTACACATTCCCCATTGCTTTTCCATACCGGTATATCTTTTCCAAAATTAGAAAATTGTGAAGTAATAAATAAATAAATACTTCTGAATACAGTAGTCATTACTCACTAGGGTGGAAAATAGTGCTCCTATTTCCAAAGAAATAAGTATTTACATATCCCCACAGTATCTTTGATATTTAAAGATTTCTTGTCAACAATCTTAAATCTTGGTATTTCTCAAAATGACTGAGAAATTAATTTTGTTGTTAAAAAAAAGACTAAAGACTTCATTGAAAGAAGCAAAACAAAACAAAATAAAAGTATTCATAAAAGAATGTTGAGTTAATCTTACTTTTACTTGCTTAATTTCAAGAAGAGCTCCCTGAATGAAAAAGGTATTTAAATTTTTGCATTTGATTCTTGCTTTTGTAAAGATTCACTTCTTAAGAGAGATTACTAGATTTAGACCACTTTTTCTTAGAAGTGTGTCATTGAATCTTTGCACAAAATGCATGTTGTGATACAATCCCCGACAAATTGGCATAAACATGAAAATTTTTGCTCAGAAAAGAAAGGAAAAAAAAAGAAAAAATGCACTGTTTTTTAGCCTGTCTACACTTTGTCATGTACATGTACTTTGATTTCAGGTCATGTCTTGTTAAAGGTAGTACAAAGTTTTGGGAAATTTTGAAAATTGGTTGGATAGTAATTCTTTACAATTCTGATATATTTGGATTCCCCTGTGGATGTATTATAAGCACTAGAAAAATTAGCCTCTAAAACACTTCTGCTTTTGAGTAAAATTGAATATCAAAATTTACCGGTGCTCCCGGTAAATTTTGATAAATTTCAAATAGCGCTTACGGCCATACAGCTGTAGCTGCGACCATGAAAATCTCAGAATATGTAGATGTGGTATATTATTTCCAAACGGAAATAGCCATTTGGTCGATTTTAGTCCAAAAACATTGCAATATACAATCCCCGACAAATTGGCATAAACATGAAAATTTTTGCTCAGAAAAGAAAGGAAAAAAAAAGAAAAAATGCACTGTTTTTTAGCCTGTCTACACTTTGTCATGTACATGTACTTTGATTTCAGGTCATGTCTTGTTAAAGGTAGTACAAAGTTTTGGGAAATTTTGAAAATTGGTTGGATAGTAATTCTTTACAATTCTGATATATTTGGATTCCCCTGTGGATGTATTATAAGCACTAGAAAAATTAGCCTCTAAAACACTTCTGCTTTTGAGTAAAATTGAATATCAAAATTTACCGGTGCTCCCGGTAAATTTTGATAAATTTCAAATAGCGCTTACGGCCATACAGTTGTAGCTGCGACCATGAAAATCTCAGAATATGTAGATGTGGTATATTATTTCCAAACGGAAATAGCCATTTGGTCGATTTTAGTCCAAAAACATTGTTTTATGGCTTAATTTATATCTTGACCTTGAGAGGGAGCTATACAACATAAAGTGTTTATTTTTTACA